GAGTAATCTGGTTTCTTTCTGCTTTTTCACACCTGCACATACTTTTACAAAGGAAATGTAGAAAAAAAGGCAAACAAATAGCACTGACAAACTTTAAAGGTAAAAATATACACTTAAAGTCACGGTATGTAACTTTGTAGCTAAATTATAGACTAAAATAAATGTATGTTTGTTTGTTTATTTTTTTATTTTGATTGTGTTTATTGCATAGACTGTATATATAAATGGACATAGCTCATGCACTAACCTCTGCGTTCAAAATCAGAAGTTCACGTGGCTCTTCCGGCTCAGACTGTCCCTGGCTCTCATTGAGTTACATTGTCGTCCCTGTCTCTGCAACTGCTGTAGTGAGCCTCGTCATTTTGTTCTTAAAATGCTCGTATTAACCAGCTCTAAGCGATCCTGGTGTTTTTATTTCTCTATTTTGTCCATCAATAAAATCCTATTCCTAATATAGAGCCTGCCTCCACATTCGCTCTTGTAACCACTACCACTGCAAGCTTCATTTCAGTGGCGCTGAACGCTATGGGTAACGTCACACTCGCTTAGTCCACTTCTTTACACAGTCTATTATTATACAGTCTTCATTGTACTGAAAAAGCAAAAAACCTCCTTACTAAAAAAATGGCTTGCATCTCCAAAAATCTGACTCAAAGCCTGAAGGAGCTGCCTCTTCATGCTTGTTTTCATGGAAATTATATTCCTTTGTCTACAACAACAGTATGGCAAAAACACCTGAATCTATCTCCATGGCAAATGTTTCTGAAGTATACTTTTGACTTTCTGTTTCCATTGAATCATGCAGATACCACCTCCAGAAAGTTACATGCTGTATGTTTAACCACTACCTCTGGGCAAATGTGAGCAGGGACCTCCTGATCTCCAGAGCCAGGGTCATGGTCAGGAGTAGGTAGCAGTAGGATTACTTCATTGTGCAGGCTGATATGATATACTGAAGTAAATGGAGGGAGTTATGGGGAGAACATACAAACTCCATAAATACATCTTAGCAGACAACAAACCAAAGAAGCAAACCAGGTCCTTGAGCTTAAGGCGAAAGTGACAATATTCCAAACAAGCATGTATTAATAGTTCAGGTAGCATTGCAGCTTGGAATTGTAAACATCTTCCAGATGCACGAACGCTGACAAATGTGTTAAACAAAAGAGAGCGAACCACACAGAGACACAGCACAGACCAAATACTGGCTTAATATCCGACGCAACAGAGACTGAGATGGAATGCACAAACACTCTAATCCTCAGATGCCCTCTCCGATACAAACTGTGTATACAACTGCATTTGTAGAGAGGACATTTCACCTCAGCATACATAACACAACATTCGTTAGCTGTGGGGCCAAAAAAAGACTTGCAATGTCAAAACAAAGCACAGACACAGATAGGGAAAGTTGCCAGGTACAAAGCACAATGACTAAGGTGGCTTTTTTCCTTGAATTTCCCTTGGGATCAATAAAGCATCTCTCCTTCTTTTGTGGTAGTACTTTGAAAATCCTTGAACAGAAGGTTATTTTTACTTCAAAATCTGAACAAGCAGGCAGGGTTGGGTACTCTTAAAAGTACCACTACAGGTTCAAATGAAAAGGTTTGGGTACTGCTGGCACTGAGAAAATCATTAAACCAAAACACTGGTACTAGATAAATACTAGTAGGCAGCAGTAGTTCTGTTTTTTAGGTTTTATGCAAGACAAGGTAATAAAACAGATAAATAAATAGATTACAACTTCAGATTCAGTTTAGAGGAGGCTGCCTGTTTTTACAGTACTCTGGGACATCCGCCTTAACTATGAGACCAGTGAGGGCCTTGTCAAAGAAGTAAGACAGAGACACTGAAGAGGCTGATGATTCTGCTGCTGCGGTGAAGAAGGGGAAGGAGTGGATTACAGCATGTAACCGTGAGGAACGAGAGGAGAGGAAATGCATTTATGATATGGAAGACAATTGGTTGAACTGGCTACAACAGACATGTGTGGATCACTTTGTAGTAGTAGCAGAAGTAGTAGTAGTAGCTAGTAGTTATGTGCAGGATCAAAAAGTACTTTCAAGACTTTATATTTGGACAGACCTACACTCAGCACTCATAAATGCATTCACTATGTAACTTTTCTGGTGGAGATCTGCTACCTGCTTGTCCCCATGGAGATGCTATTGCTTGTCATTGCTATTGCTAGGGATATTCTGCAGTATGGCCTCCATGGAGATAAACAGGCCAAGTTACCATTCAGATCTCTGGAGATGCGAGACGACTGACAGTAGCAATTCATATTTTAGCAATAACACTTGTTTCCTTATCAAAAACATACCTTGAATTGTGTTTTGTTTCATTCACATATACAAGTTTAACACACAAACTCTGCAGATTTAGGCTGAGTTTTTCTCTCAAACAAAAAACATAAAACAAGTGCTCCACCATGTTTTCAAACTCCATTCACAAACACCTTCACTAAAATCTTTTGGATAATTTTAGCCTTGACTGAACAAAAGGTAGCTGTTAACAAGAAAACTACAGCTTCATTACATCACAAGGAGTATTTGGAGTATTTTAAGCATTGGAGATGTAGAAGACTAATAATAAAGGATTACTCAAACATGTGGGAATGAAAAAAAACACAACTCCGGGTGTGCTTTTGATGAGGTAACAGGGTTATAACATGGCATAAAGCTCACAAGAGTCAATTTCGTGTAATATAGGACCTTTAAGCAATCTATCAATCTTTGTGTACACTGGTGGTTATTTCTTTTCAAAAACAAAAAACGAACATGTGTTAGCACTTAGTTCATGTTAGCTGAGGAAGGGCGTGATTGGGTGCACTTCCTCCTCCTGCCTACGTGTGAATGCCTCTCTCTCTCTCTCTCTCTCTCTCTCTGTGTGTGCACATAAGGCTGCTATGAGACAGATGACAGGGACACAGGCAGGTGCTCACTCACTTGTGGTATCACTCTGGTGTTCATTTTGGAGCTGTGTGTCGACCCAAACATGTAAGATAACACATGCACATTACAAACCTTTGAGGAGGGGGTGAGGATGTTTCTCTTCCTGTTGATAAGGTCCTACTTCCTGGCGTGCCGGTCAGCATGGGACTACTGACCACATTACTTCATGGGTTACACCTCAATCACGTCTCCTGCTTTTGTTGTGTTTTAGGCGGGCTGAGTGGGTGGAGGTTTTGACTGTAAGCAGCAATGGAACAGTTAATAGAGTCCCAAATAGAGTCTTTGAATAATTGGCGTTTTGAGTTTAATAAGGCCCAGTAAAACAAATGCTGCCTCAATTGAAACTCATTTTCTTGTATAATAGCTAGCTTTTGGCATTAAGATAGTAAATAAAATAAAAAAATGTGGCTAATTTCACAATTTTCACACTTGTGAGGTGTTTTTATAGACCTGTCAACATGGTACATGTGGTAACACAAGAAGGTGGAACAAAGCATTTTGAGCTTTGGAGATGTAGACAGACTAATAATGCGGGATTACATATGTGAATGAAACAACACACAACTCTGGATATGTTTTTGACGAGTAAACAACATTATAACAAGTGCAATTTAGAACCTTTAAGGCCCAGTAAAAGAAATGCTACCTCAACTGAAACTCATTTTCTTGTATAGTATTGTATATTTTGGCATAAAATCATAAAAAAGCATGTTAATTTTACAATGGAAAGAGACTACTGAGCTGATCTTGTGGGATGTTTTTTTTATAGATCTGTCTACCTGTCACTGGATGCAATCTAGACTATTAAAAGACATAAAGTTAATATTATACGAGCTTTAGTTAGACTGGACTTTTACATGACATTAAGTAAGAGCACACTATTGCAATGTGGCTAGCCTAGCAACATCCTAAACATGTCATACAGTGAGTAGTTTGGTGTGTATACGAATGTGGCTACGTCATACGAGTCTTTGTTGTGACCGGCCAGTACAAATTATGGAGTAGGTGGTTCCAGGCTGGTGGTTCTCCCAATCACCACATATTTTCAAAGTGCTCATAATCTAATGCAGGTATAGTAAGACCTTATTATAGGTCCATGAATAATCTGCACATTTACAACCTCCTTAAAACGTGTAAGTTCTGCTCCAAACTAGACTAGAGCATGGTCTTGTTTTACATTCATAGACCAAAATGAGTATGTTCATAGTAGTTTAAAGGACCCATATTACGATATTTGATCTGTTATAATGTTGTTTTGTCATTAAAAACACACCTGGAGTTGTGTTTTGTTTCATTCACATGTTTAACACACATCCTGCTTATTTATGTTGAGTTCTTCTCTCAAACTGAAAACAAAACACTCCACACTTCCACCTTGTGATGTCATGTGGTAATACAGGAAGTGCTCCACTGCGTTTTTAAGCTCCATGCACCTTCACTAGAAACATGTGGATAATTTAAGGTCTGGATATTTTACTGAACTAAAAACTACCACTACATGACCATCACAAGGTGGAACAAAGCATTTTGCGCTTTGGAAATGTAGACAGACTAATTAAACGTTCACTCAAACTATGAAAGAAACAAAACACAACTCCAGGTATGTTTTTGAGGTAACAATTCTAACATGGCGTAAAGATCACAATTTTGTGTAATATAGGACCTTTAATGGCCTAGCTAGCTTGCCATTTATTTTTCTCATAACGTTTTGATAATTTAATATACCAAACCAGACAGTATAAAGTTGACTGACAGATTTGTGCTTGTGCGTAATGTGCAGAGTGCCCCCTACCTCGTGCGTAAACATGATAATACTGTCCTCCTTCATGTTTTCCGTCCGTATTGATTTAAATGGATTTAATGAGCCAATTGGCGGACTGTTGAAACGTGAGCGCATGCAGATTGGACACATGAAGCAGCGCTGTGCAGTGTGGGAACCCCCCCCCTCCACTTGTTCCACTGGAGAGCGGTCGCGGTCCTCCACTCCTCCACGGCCCGCCCCCTTCCCCCTGCTCTCACCGCGCTGCTGCTGCTCTCACCGGGGACACACCAGTCACACAGTCCGGGCTGCACCTCCGCCTGGATCGGACCGGAGTTACTCTATACCTGTCCCAAACTGAAAACGTCTTGGAATGATTATCAAAATGGAGTGATATAAGTGTATTTCAAGTTGTCCTGCGTTATCCAAGGTGAGTTTTTGCAAGTTTCTAAGCACATTTTGCCTCTAAGTGATGTTGATTTGCACTGTACAATTGTAGTGTAGCCTATAGCAACTTATCAAATTAGCTTTATCTTCATTTTTTTTTTTAAAATCAACACTTATTTTTGTGAGCTGCTGTGTCTAAGTAAGGTCCCTTGTCTAAATCAAAGTATTATTATTCACATTTGGGTTAAAAATGGTGTTGCATAAAATATTATATAATCTTATAATGCATTCTTAAAATAACGCAGTTACTAGTGTACTTTTTAATGAGTTGTGCCATTATCTAAGTGTTTTTATATCCTTATCTTTATCCTATTCATAGTGGCCTACTACTGGCTTTAATTTTATGGCTTTCCACCAGCCTATTAGAATGCAATTAGCTGAACACTTTCTATTGAACTTTATGAAATAGGGTTAATGTTTAATGACATCCATAATAGCCTTCCAGCTATTCATTCAATGGATAAATATCTGGTTTATTTAGTGATAAGCCCATGCCATTAAGACTTGTAAAAGATCTGGACTAAAAAGTGACTTGCTATCGCTTTGGCTGTATGGTTATCACAGGTTTTATCACAGTGTTTATGGATACAGCTGTGGGAGTCATTGAGTGAGGACAAATGTTGATAGAAGCTTTTCCCTAAATCTCAGACATGAAATTCCATCGCCTCAACAACAAATTTAGATCCTTTTAACAGCCTTGGTGATGTATGATTACACAAGCACACACCGCAGCCTCTGTTGAGCAAACTCCAGCTTTGATTTGTATCGTCCTTGCCTTGTAATTACAACTGCCTCTTTCCACACATAGTAGCTCTGAAGAAGTGCCTGGATGTTGACATTTGGGGTGTGCTATAATATCGAAATAGCAATATATTTTGATACAGTATGGCCTATAAGTGTTTTTCTCTATATTTTATGAAATTATATTGTGACAGTGCAAGAACTGGTTGTTTAGAGACTTATTAAAGGTGCTTTCTTATTGTCTTAAAAATGTGAAAAACAAAACTAGTTCATTTTAAATGGTTTGCAGTGGTCCAAAGTTATTCCTCTGTTATCTTATGCATTCCGAGCATCCTAATTATTCACCACAATGAGTTTATAATCACGTTTGATAACTTTTAGAGGCCAGACAGGAACAACTAGCATGCTAACTGCACACTTCCTGATTCACTTTATAATTAGATGCTGACAGTACATAGCAGACTTATTTTGACCTCAAGAGCTGCTTATACAATGTATCTGTATTAGGGCAAGCCATGGAAAAAGAATCAGGTACAGGGTCTTTAATATAACATATATAACACACTTTTTTTGATTAAAGTGTGTATATTTTAAATAAAGTTTTTTCAGGTTGTGGTTAAACAAAAAAATACAGTTGTTGTGGTTCCTACAAAATAGTAAGCAGAATATCATGGTGAGAAATTGTGATATTATCGTATCGTGAGCCATGTATCGTATTGAATCGTCAGGGACTTAAGGGTGATCCCCAGCCCTAGTTGACATAGTAGCAGAGAAGTTGTTGGCCTTGGAAGTGTTTTAATTAGAGCTACAAGTGACTAACACCATGTCCAGGGGGCTGTGACCTCTGACCCTCCATTGCAGCCCACTAGGAGGCCACCATGTGAAATGCCACACACACTGCTGCAGGACACCGTTGGCCCAGACAAATAAACAAACAGAAACAGTGGAGATCAATAGAGAGCTTGCTGTGATAAGAGCACAGAATCCAATCGGCTAATACAGGGGGCCAAAAACATTTCCCCAGACTCCTGGAAATGTTTAGCTTTTTAAACAGCCATTACTAAACCGAATGACAAGAATGAAGCAGAACTAACCAAAGTACTAGGTCTAATACATAAGCCTAAATTATGTCTTTAGCACTAACTAGCTTCACTGGACTTAAAAAAAAACTACTATTTATTCTGACTTGTTTAAATAGTTACATCTTTGCATTAATTTAAAAAAAATCTGTTTTGTGGCACCTGTATTTTAAATATTACAGAATATCTGATGCCCTCTGCTGGCAACAGTCAGCAGTGGAGGATGTTAAAATCACAAATTAGCAGCATGGCTATTCTCAGCTTTAGCTTTGTTGTACCATTACCACTTTCTTAAAGTTGGAGTATGTAACTTTTCTGGTAGAGAGCCTGCCAGTTGCTTGTTTCCATGGAGCTGTTATTGCTTTGCCTGCAATGTTCCAAAGTATGGCATTTACTATTAATTTATCAGTCTCTACAGAGACAAGCAGGAGATGCCACCAGGCCAATTTACAGGTGAGAAGTGTGAAAAGGCAACCCCACTTATAGTCGGAAAGCATGTTTTTAAATGTATTTTTTGAGCATTACAAACACCGATAATTGAATAAATGCATGTTATATAAGTTTAATCTCATTGTGGAACATTGCAGGCAAAGCAATAGCGTCTCCATGGTGGTGGCCTCCCAATCTAAAAAGTTACAAAGTCACCTTTTAAAGTAGATTACATTAGTAAATATGTATCAATACAACCAAACACTAGTCCAGACATTTTGATTAAGAAACAACAAAAATTGAACAAACGGACTTGTCAGTGCTATATAAGAAACTTGAGTACCACCAGTAGCACCTGTACCGCAGATTGAGAACCTGTGGGCTAACATAATGAATGAACTTTTGATGACAAGAATGCCATTGACAATTTCCTGCTTCCTCTTCCATGCTTTCATTGGTAATGTGCTTGCCAGATGATCAGCACATGTCTAGGATAGATCTACAATATTACAATGACGCCTTCTTTCCTCTTACCTACTTTTACCTGAGCTCTACATTCCTGACAGGACCTATGGCGGTGACCTCTGAGTGTCATTGACGTAGCAAGTGTGGAGAAGGGTCAGTTGCGTTCAGCTGCTGTATTTGCTTTCACACTGTAAACCTTTCAGCAACTTTATTTTTTTAAACCAGACATGTCGAAAATGCTTGGAAGGCGCTTTGTCACTGTCACAAAAACGTCAAAACATAAATCATTATTTGAGATGGTCCGATATGGATTTTGTTTTCTTCAACCAATACTGCTATCCGATATTTGTTGTTTGGGCGTATATTTTAAAGTTCCTGGAAAGGCTGAAAAAAATTAAGTAAAGTTTTATTTTATTTTATTTTTGTAATCTATAAAACAATTTTATTTATTTTATCAGAAATAGAACACCTGCTACCAGCTCAGTGTTTGTTAGCTTGGCCTTTGTCATCAGAGGTATAATACTCCCTACAAGAGAAGCATAGCTAGACTCGACTAGAATGGACAATACTATCTCATATCACAATGATTTGAGGCCTCATGTCTCCAGCCTCATGTCCCCTCTCACAACTCCTGGACTACTTCAATTTATTCAACCACAGATATGTCCCTAAACCTTACATAACATCTTTGTTTTTGCCCAGATATATTTAGAAAAGGAATGTTTGATGATAAGAAAATCTGAATTCTTAGGGGGTATATTGGGCTAATCTCAAGTCCTTTTTTCTGCCTAAAGGATCCAGGTTAACACAGGAAATCTGACTTCATGGGAACTTGGCAATGACGACTGTAAAGTGTTCCCAGCTTTGGCACCAGTCCACCTCCCCCGTCTTCCTGAAGCCTTCCAGTTTATGATATTTGGCACCAACATGGCAGATCGCAGACAGAACAATATAGGAATGCAATGGAGACAATGACACCTGCTAATCATTACTTTGGGACATAAGCATGGGACACACATGGATATTTTTAAACTTAGTAAGAGAATAGACAGTACCAGACCCTCCTTTTGCAGCTTTCCCCCCTTTGTTCTCAGATGAGGCCATATATAAAGATAGACAGTTCTAAATAAACACATTTATGGAGACTGGGCTTCAAAAGAGAAAGTAATTACTCAAGTCAAGTGCAATAAGGAAAAAGCAATTAGCGTCTTCCTGTTGCAAAGTTGTTGTGATGTTTTGTCAGATTGTTGGAAAGTATTGTGACCGTTTGTTTCCAAAGGAGACAAACGCAACATTTGTTATATCAGAAAGGTACATAAGGACAATTTATATAGCATATTTGTGGCAGCTCTTTCTACTAGTTATGACAAATTGCTTTAAAGTTCATTGTAAAACCTTTTTGGTGAGGATCTGCTACTTCCTTGTCTTCATAGAGATGCTATTGCTATTAGGGCCGGGTATCATTAAAAAGTCACCGATACGATACATGCTTTGAAACATAGGCCACCATATGATACGCTTTTTGATACACTGAGCTTTTGATTTGATATATTTCACATTGATTTGATACATTTCAGTGAAAAACAAAGGCTAAATCATGGCTCTGTTACTAAAACACCACTAAGTCTGTTCAGAGTTAATATGGAAACACCCATTTTACTCTAAACTGAAGACATAAACACAACTACAGCTCCTACACAAATTAATTTAATAAAATATACCTTATAAATACTCTTGACGATATATCGATACAGCAGCCCATGATATTGATATTGTGTCAGTACATTAAATGATACGATATCTTGATATTTTGATATTTTTGCACACCCCTAATTGCTGTGTGTGCAATGTTCCACAGTTTGGCAATAAACCTATCCAACTTGCATATAATCAAGCATTCTGTGAGCCAGCTTGCCACTACACAGACCTAACCTGTACCTTGGCCTCTCCATGGAGAAAAGCAAGTGGCAGACTCTGTACCTGAAAAGTTAAATAGTACACCAAGCCCATTTTGATTTTACTCTTACACTTTCTGAAGTTAGATGTTCAAATCTGCGGTATATTGTAAAGCATTTTTTGTTTTTTTTTTTTTTATTGTCTGCAAATCAGGAAGTAAACCTGTTGAGCTATTAGCATGCTAGTTGTTGATAACATTACTGTGAAAGACTCCACTCTGGCTTCACAAAGTTGTGAAACAAACTTAAAAACTCATCACGTTGAATAATTAGGATGCTAGGAATGCGTTAAGAAAGTGAAAAATAGTGCAGAGAAAGCTGGAACAAAAACTTCTTGTGGCTCTGGATATAATTTTTTCCCACAATTTACTTTCAAGCATGTTAATACCCCCAAGTGGCTTATAATATCATAAGATTATTACATAAAAGCTGTCATGGTTATTGCGTTGCATGTGGTGGTCTCTTTTCTAATATTAATGTTTTGGCAAAGCAGAGCCATGACCAATAAAAAAACTATTTCACCAGGACCTAATTACACCTTCATTATACCTCATTATATCCCTCCGCCCCCCTATAATGACCTCTATAACTCCAGCCAGCCTCTGTTTGTGTTTGAACCCTAGCACAAAGGAGCAAAAACACAACCAAAAAGCCAAGCTAGAGGGGACTGCCAGTTTCAACACATGCAAGAATACGCTAAAGATATCTGTTGAGACTTAAAATTGTTTTGCTGGAGAGGGAGGAAGTGCTGCGCTGTTTGGCTTGGATCTGGTCAGGGCACGGATGGAGAAAATAGTGCCGTAATTGAAAGTCCGAGGGAGAGCCTGAAATATGTGGCCTTATCTTGTGTGTTTGTTCACCTGGTTAGTGGGTTAGCAAGCGAAGGACATGAGAAGAAAGAGTTGCAAAAGCGAGCAAAGGGCATCATTGATTTGGCGTTTAGGAAAGTCAACACTTTTGAAAGACAAGGCAATAGGGTTTTTGTGTAGCTGGTGTTAGCTTTGGGAAGTGAGGTCAGAGTTGAGTAGCGAAACGTGGGGTGAAGTGAAGTGTGTAAAGTTATGCATGGCAACTAAGTAAGGAATATTGAATCTTATCTAAGTATTGCAATAATGTCTGTCAAATAGTTGTCCAGTTAGAACAGGGTGAATTTAATATATAAAATGTCCATTCATTACCATTGCAAGATATATCTAATTTAATTTCACAATTACAGACAGGTTTTTGAAGAAGATTTAATTAAAATTATTTACATAAAAACTTACAAAAACTGGACTCAATAGTAACATCCAAAGTATAGAAAAACCTATTTCAAATCCATTCTGGGCACTGTATCTAAAGCAAAGCAATGCTTCATCAGGGTCTTTTTTGCGTTTGGTTTATCGTGGTAAACCTAAACAAGTTCAGTGAACTTATAACTTATGTGGAAACTGCTTACCGATGAAGAGAAAAGCTGCAAGTTAGAATACTAACAAATTGTAACATACAAGTTTGCTAAATTTAGGGATGCACAGATCCAGCTTTTTCTGCTCTGATTCTGATGTCAATACTTTAACTGATACCCGATTTCAACCGATTTTAGGGCAGAGACTGAAAATATAATTTATTTAATTTGAATACAAATGTATGATAAAATATCTAAATATATTTTGTTACCATTTACAATTTAAAGTAATTATAGAACAGCCTTGCATAAATAAGTTTAATATGAGATGTTTTGGTCCAACATGGGCAAATATCTTAAATGTATAAACAAAAACTGATACGATATTGATTCCAAAACCAATTGGAACCCACTAACATCTTCAACATCGGCACTGATATCCGATACCAGTATCATATTGTTGCATCCCTAGTTAAAGTAAGAGATCTGAATTAGTTTACTCAACCCATAACATTTGACTTCAAGAACCTTGCTTATTACACTGTACTATTGTTCATATGTATGCCTATTTTTAGTTTTATTTACTGTAAATAACTGTATGACGTAGCTGCATACATAACCGCCTCAGTTACCCTAAACGTTAAAAAAGGCCAGTTCAGTATTTTATATTGTCAATTCAAACATAGGTTCCAGTTTTGTTCGGGGTCTGGTTGCCTTCAACACATCAACATACCTCTTACTCTCCTTGTATTGTATTGGTTTCTATTATGGAAAGTACCTGAACAAGTACTCCATCAATGAGACCATTCAAATATCCCAGATCATAACGTATTATTCACAAACTTGAACACATGTTTTCCTGACATTGTGCAGGCATAAGCAATAGATTTAGGGAAGAACAATGACATATTCATAGTTGTATGTTTCCAATCCTCCCTGAGCAGTAGACAGTGCACGCTCTCCCTGCCTTCTGTTCTGACGGATGCTCCTCTCCTCTGGCTCTCATTAAAGTGTGGTTCCTCTGGTTTAGGGCCAGTTCAATGCTGTACATCGTGACATGGAAATATTTTATGGAGTCTGTCTGTGAAGTCTGAGACAACGGCAAACCCTGGACTGCAGAACTAATAGAAAATAATATTGTGTTGTTGAAGAAAGTATTAGGTTTTAATGCTCGGGAGTATTGGCTTTATCAAGTTGGAGCAGAAACAGGGTCATAATTTAGACAGCAGCGTTCGTTATATTTGGATCAGTGATGAGTGGATGTTCTTGGCTACTTACTGCAAAAATGTTTGAATGTTCTTTGTTCTTAATATGAATATTCACAGCTAATCAAATGAGAGGAATTATGTTATGTATTGTATGTTTGAGTCTTTTTACATGACACCACTGTATTGAATCTGTTTAATGTATTGGTACACTGTAAAACTTTTCTGGTGGAAGTTTCTGGCCCCTGTTTTAGTTCTTGCTCTGCCTGTTGCAATGTACTTATCTAGCTTGCATTTATTCAATTATATTCTTACCGTGAGCCGGGTGCCCTCTCCACAGATCTGACTTGTAACAGCGTGCTGTCTTCATGTGCTTGTCTCTATGGAGATAGATATGGTTAATGCTATAAATACATTGCTGACAAAATAATAAGATCTCCATGGAGACAAACAGATGGCAAGCCCTTGGCAAGCATATGACACATTTGGAAAATATCAGCATGGCCCTATAACAGATTTGTAAAACGATCAGAACCAATTCGATAAAGGTGGATGGATTTAATAACAAAAACCAAGAGGACTTCCTGGACTTGTCAAAATCCTGCTGAATTGCAACTAAATACTATTCTTGTTTTATATTTGAAATAATGTTAAAAGCTTGAAAAATGTGTCTTCCTTATGGAACTACAAATTGTTTACTTTACTCTTAATATATTCTAATGTCCTTATTTCTTTCTTTTACAGAAATCATTTGGACTGTCTGCCGTGACATCAGACCCAAGCCCCATACCAAGACAGTAACCAAGGAGATAAACGATGAGCCTATAATCCAAGGTATGTTTGACCCCCCTACTGTTTTTAGATGCCAACAATTCATCCAGGGAGGAACTTAATGCTATTTTTGGAGAACATTTTTATATATTTTTTCATACACGTGTCACTTTAGATTGACTCAAACCAGTGCGCTCTAAGTGAGGACAGCTCATTTGGGCCGTACATGTGTAGTCAGTATGAGCTTTGCCCTTAACGTCCCACAACACAGGTCCAAAGGGGACGACCCTGTTTGTGCTGTGGTCAGAGGAATTAACCGGATTAAAGGGAAAGACAAAGCACAAGCCTGTATGTAAGCACTATAATGAATGGTCTTCTTCCATGCGTTCGTGTAATGCTGTTATCAATTAGACTGACTTGTTTAAACATGATACACAAAGACACATGTTTTTGCTCATTAGGGAAAACATGTGGTCTGAGTGACGTGTGCAGACTCTAGGGACAGTGGTAAAATTAGACATGGCTCGATATGGATTTTCGTGACTGATAATTACCAATATTTTCCGAGACAAATAGCATCACAAATAGCAGTGTAGTTATAGTTAAAGTTACACTGTGTATTTTCAGGTTGTCCCCGTTGCTTTGCTTAGAATGTTCCACAGTAGGGCATTAAAACGAGAAAAGCAGGTGATGCTGCCAGGGTGCTAGGTCACTACGTTATACGTCAGATCTGTGGAGAGGTGACCCAATTCACAATAATGCATGTTTAAGGTATTTTTTTATAACTGAATATGTATGAGTTAGGGTGGTCAAATTCGATTTTGATATTAAAGAATAGAACCGATACTCAATATCAATTTTGATACCCAAATGATAATTTTCAAATATTGTCAGTTGCAACACAAAATATCAGTATTTGTTTATGTGGTCTTACACTAGTTAAAACTTAAGATCATATTTTATTCAGTGTTTTGTTTTTTTCCCCCAGTATCGATACTTGCTTAAATCTAGTTTTGATAATTGTTTTAGCATTGATTAGTATCTGATTTTGAATATTTTTAACAATATTAGATAAGTTTAATTCCATCTGGGGAAGAGTTCAGGCAAAGCAATAGCACCTCCAAGTATTGGACCTTGTACCAGGAAAGTTACATAGTGCACCTTTAAGTTAAAATGTAGCCTAACTATAACCCTGTTGTAAAAAAAAGTATAACACCATTAATATTCATGGATAATACATACCGCTATGAATATTAGCTCAAATCGCTAAAATAATGATCCCATGTTCTCAAATTCAACCTCACACCTGAGTTTAGCGCTCCCTGGTGGCTGGGGGGAGGGGGGAGGGTGCCCCAGACTGTATGTCATGAACCATAGCACCTCATTAATGCAGCCAGATGGGTAGAGTGCATGTGCAGGGGGCTCCTGTACAGGGCTTATAAAGAGAAACAGAGGACCTTGTCAGAGCTGCTTTATGCTATCAAAATATTTAAGGATTGGGTATCCATTACTCCGCTGGCAAAGAACAACACTGGAAGGAAGGGGGGCTTTTTCCTGCTCTAATACACACAAGGAAGTCATAGCTCCACTTCTCTTATCAGACATTTTAAGTATCTCTTCCCCACCTAACATATTTTCACTGAATGTCTAGTACGAAAAAGTTATTGTAGAAAAAAATTTGCTTAAAGGTCCTAAATTAAAAATAAAAACTGCCATGTTAAGCCATGTTATAATGTTGTCTCCTCCTCAGAAACATACCTGGAGGTGTTTTTTGTTTCATTGCCACTTGTTTGAGTAACCCTGCATTATTGTGCTGTTTACATTTCCAAAGCTCAAAATCCTCTGTTCCACCTTGTGATGTCATGAAGTGGTAGTTTTTGCATTCTAGTGAAGGTGTATAAAGTTTAAAAATACAGTGGAGCACTTCCTGTAGCACCACATGACATGGTGGAACACAACTGAGGCAACAACATTTTAACATAGATCAGAAAATAGCTCAATATACAGCCCTTTTAAAGTTTAACAAATTGTTAGCTGAACTCTGTGGCAAAGAGGTCATGTGGGATCAACTTGGTCAGATACCAGTTGACATAATTTGCTATTTAAAGGTGCACTATGTAACTTCCTGGTGCTTTGACTGAAATGTTCCAAAGTATGGCAGTAAATGTGTCTGTCACCACAGAAACACCACCAGGCTAAGTTACAGGTCATATTTGTTGATAGGTGACCCCCCACTGCTACCAGTTTTTAAGGTAACTGAATAAAGGCAAGTGTAATGCTATACTATGGACTATCTTAGACAAAGCAATAACATCACCATGGAGACAAGGAGGTGGTGGACCAACCTACAACCGAAAAGTAACATTGTGCATCTTTACAGGTGCAGTATGCAACTTTTCTGATAAGAGTCCAGCACCTGGTTGTGTCCATGGAGATATGCTAGGGAGACTGCTTTGAGATTGAGATTTATGTATTTATTTTGGGCTTTCCCTGGAATGTACCACAGTATGGCATTAAAATTTCTTATTATTTAATTACAGCTATTTTTTTTAAACAATAAAACAGTGCCTATATGCATTCTACTGTAAGCGGGCCAACCTCTTCGCAAATCGGACAGGTAAAATAGCTTGTGCTTGTCTCCATGGAAATAGATAAATTATCATACTGTGAAAAATTCCAGGCAAAGCAAAATCTCCATGATAAAGGACATTGCACCTGGAAAGTTACACAGTGCACCTTTAAGTAATGGTTATATGTGAAATAAGATAGATAAATAAATTGGTTTCACAGAAAACATATTTTGGCTTGTTGGCTAGTGTTTTGTTTTTATTGTGGTGCTGTTATAAAATATGATATTAAAAATGAACAATGGTAAAGTTGTTTCTCTGAGAGCTATACCACAAGATTCAAGTCATCAAGCCACAAGAGGAAGACCATTTTAATTTTAAATAGGGTTGACTCATATCCTGTTTTTACTCTGCTACTAAAAGCACTACCGTAAGAGTGGATATCATTTACTGAGAGGTTGGGGTTAGCGTGTAATGTGTAAGTTTATAGACAGGCTTCTGCTGCTCTAACTCAATCCTTTAAAAGCGAATAAACTTTCCTCCTCTCTTCTGTGACAAAGCAGGTCAGACCGACTCCAGGAATCCCCTAAAAGTCTGTAGAGGAGGGACGGACTGTGTCTAAATTTAGTCAGTTCCAGACCAGTGGACCTTTGGAACGTAGAATCCTGAAAAAACAAAACAAAAAAAATCCTGTCTGGGACCAGTTGAATGTGGTGTGTGTACAATAGACAGAGGTGGGTAGAGTAGCCAAAACTAAGTAACAGTAACTTCAAAAGTACAGGAGTAAAAGTATGTTGCAGAAAAGTAAAAATTTTTAAAGGCCCTATATTACTCTTATTTTCTGATCGTCATTATCAGTTGTGTTTTGTTTCATTCACACATGTTTAACAATCAAACCCTGGATATTTAGACTGAGTTCTTCTCTCAAACAGAAAACACTGTGTTCCACCTTGTGATGTCATATGGTATTACAGGATATGCCCACTGTGTTTTTAAATTTGATATGTATTTACTAGATTTGGATGATTTCAGCCCTGGAATTTTCGATCTCTACTACACTAAAGGTAAAAGGTTAACTGAAAACTCCCCCTACATGACATCACAAGGTGGAACAGAGCATTTTGAGCTTTGGAGATGGAGGATTACTCAAACATGTATGAATGAAACAAAACACAACTCCAGGTATATTTCTGAGGAGACCACAACATTCTAATATTACTTAAAGCTCACAAGAATCCAGTTTGTGTAATACAGGACCTTTAAAAAGTTACTCAAGTAAATGTAACTGAGTACTACCCATTTCTGATAATAGAATAGCCTTGGTTTCACTCATCTCTACTCAACCGCCTCTATATAAACCGCCCTATGTCATCCTTTTCAACACCATACATCTTTGCCCGCTTTTTAAAGATAGCTGTTCTGTCTGTTTTTGTTCCCCGTAGATGTTTCCACCGCACCACCGCACAAACGCTAGCAGCTGGACCAGGGACCTATTTCTGAGCTGATGCGGACTGGAGAGCCAGCCGAGGGAGACCAGGCGACCTCACCACATTCCAAAAGGCCGGCCGCATCCAACTGCACAACTGCATAGTGTTCTTAGCAATTTATGTGCGTTTAATTCGGCCAGCTATGCAGAACGGTGAGCTACAGAGACCAGGGCAGAGCTTGGCGCGCACATGAGAGACGTAGATGTTAAATTGTCAGATATTTGGCAGTGCTGAAGAAGTTACACGCTTTTTGGGAAACTGGAATAAGTCTTGACAGCAGATTTTTGTCGACATAAAATAGGGCTGCAAGACTATTTGGAATTGGAATTTGAACAGACGCAATTTGTAAATCGCAAAAGTACCAGAGGTTTCTTCGTAAACAACAAAATATCCTGTCTGAATCGTCATAAAAACAGTGAAAAAATGTTCTGAAATTCTTGTGAAAGTTTGTCAGTATTTTTGTCAATTCTTTTGGACATGTTTCAAATGTGAACTTTGAACACTGTTATCAAAACATAAATTGCAAATCTAAAACATTCAGCAGTTGCATAAAACCCAGCGACGATTGTAGATCAAAATTGTGAACAATTTGGATTTACATTTTGGAATTTTTGTGTGAAAACTGGTCAAAATGAATCTTCAAGAAAAACTATCAGGACTTAAAGGTCTGGTCACACACTCCCACGGCAAGAGACGCTATAAAGGGGACCTAACCACAGATATGATCAGCCCTCCACTCGGTGACTTCCGCCACACCATGCACGTCGGTCGCGGTGGGGATGTTTTCGGCGACACCTCCTTCCTCAGTAACCACGGGGGGACTGCCAACGGGAACGGCGGCGAAACGGACTCGATCACCAGCCCAGACAATAAGATAGGGGCCTTCTTCACCAGGACCCTGCGTCAGATCAGGAGGGGCTCGGACAACAGGGCCCGGGAGGAGGCCAAAGAGCTGTCGCCGCCTCCCCCAGCCGTGTCGCCCATCATCAAGAACGCCATCTCCCTCCCCAGGCTGGACGTGGACCTGCCCAACGGGACCCCCACCCGAGTGCTCTTCCCCAGCAGCCAGAACACGCCGGAGGACAAGATGAGCTCGTATGGTGTGTATGAGAGATGAGATGTGTTATTGATTGACTTGTAATGTTTGCATAGGTTATAGGTCAAGGTTTGACCAGATCCAAAAGTGAAATTGCTATGTAACAGATGCTTAATCATACAATAAAACAATCTTCAAAACTCAAATCAAATAAGATGGGGATTAAATTAGCAAAGCAAATACTAAGATAGATGGTTTATTACATGTAGCTAGCATCAGCAGCCAAAAAATGCAAGTCTGATCAACTACAGCCACAAAAAAGCTTCTTATGTAAGCTGCTGGCTTGATGGATTTTTGATTGAGATGTTCCAGTTTAGAACTTCTCTTTCTCCATGAAGACAAGTAGGTGACAGGCCAAATTATAGGTCAAATCTGTGGATAGGTGAATCAGCTCATGTATGCATTAGGATGTATTTTTAACAATAAAAAAAACTGTAATTGAATGAATGCAAGATAGATAGGTTTAATGCCATACTGTGGAACATTCCAGGCAAAGCAACAGCATTTCCAGACCTATTGATTTACTCAAACTTATGTTGTTAAAGATAAGTAAATTCAATAAAATTAAGGATAATGGAAAAGGCTGTTACAAAATCAGATAACTCTAAACAAGTCATTCTTTTTCTTGGGCCCCCTAGTGGCTTTTGGGACCCTGCATTTTCACCCAATTTGCATATTTTTTTAAACTGCCTTTGTTAGGTTTGCAATGATGAAAAAGAAGTCATCAAAATGCAGTTAGCTGACTATGCCACGTGTTATGAGAGATTTTCAGTTAGATTCCTGTCGGTAAATGCTCTATTTGTAAAGATCTGGCATAATTCCACAAACCAATTCATCTTGCCTGGAAATTTGGGAGCATGATGTCATCTATTTGCACTCATTCATTTTGGAATTTACAGAAAGAACAACCACTAATCTTGAAATTGGCCTTTCTACCAGAGACTGCTCTCCTTTGGTGTTAAATTACATTGACGCTAAACAAAGTCAAACACCACATAGTTGCCAGGTCAAACGAGTTGAAGAGATTTTGCGCCCTAACTTAAACAGATTTGCCCCAGATGTCCTCCATGAATCACCCCGTAGGCCCTGTAATCATTGGCACTGATAACACAAGTATCCAGACTAAGTTTGAGTTTGAGTGAGTCACATGACAGGGTACAATCTGGCTGACCTCCTCCGCATTTCGGGCTGTCTGCAGGGGGTCGATAATGAGAATTCAACACGCATTCTTCGGATGCTGTAATTTCAGACTTTATTAACCTGTGCTTGAATGCCTCACTGTTAAACTATGAGGAAATAGGGGAAATAGGTTGGTTCACCTTCTGGGCAAACGTGAGAGAAGTTTATGCTCTTGTCGTGTGCTATTAATATGGTACAGATTAGAGGTGGTGCTGGCATACCACTTAATTGCAGGAACATCTGATATTTATATCAAGGCATATGTTGTTTAGGTATTTAGAGCAGTGTGTTTTGTATATTTATGTTAGCTTTTTCATGACGTTATAAAGTTATCTTAAACTATGGCCAGCTGTCATGCAGTTTTGCATTCTTCACTTCAGAAATGTGCCTCAGGAAACAAATAATGGCATAAAGCAGGTGGAAGTTAAGAAATATACTGTTATTTTGGTACCTTTATTCATTTATCTAATCTAACTATATCAAATATGAAATCTTGCATGTGCATAGATCTGGAACACAATAATATACTGCCCCCTGTTGGAAAGACATTTAAACTGAGTGTCAAATTATGGTCTTCAATCATTCCCCTACATTTGATTAGAATTCAAAAGAAGGATATTAATTATACTATTAAAGGTGCATTTTGTAAGTTTTCTGGTGTTACTTGTTTCCTTGAAGATTTTGATTTGTCTGTAATGTTCCACAGTATGGCATTAAACTTTTCTATGGGCTCGAGCATCCAAGTTACAACTCACAGAAATTATGCAGATTTGCAAGTTATAATTTTATCAATAGAAATACCTAGGGCTCGGCATCATTAAGAAGTTGCTGATACGATACATACCTCGATACATTGGCCTCGATACAATACAGTACACTTTCAATTCAGTATGATTCAATACGATATATTTCAAAATGATTCGATACACATAAATACAAACAAATGGCTGTGATACTAAAAGACTTTATTAAACCACTAAGTTCATATGAAAAACACCCATTTTACTCAAGTGTAATGCATAAACAAGTGAACTTTCTCCAAACAAGCGACACAACTATAGCTCTTTAACAAAATAATTTAGTAAAATAAACCAAAATACTCTTGTTGATATATCGATACAGCAGCCCACGATATCTATACTGTATCATCAAATTAAATGATTTTATATATCGATATTTCAATATTTTTGTATACCCCTAGAAATACCTGTAATTGAATAACTGCAGTGTGTATAAAGCAATAATATCTCCATGGAGACAAGCAGGTGAGTTACACTCAAATTGAGTTACCCTCAACCAGAAAAGTTACACGATCTGCTTTTAACTGGAACACAAAAATATTTACATAAAAAAATGTATTTTTCATAAAACTTAAAATCGAAGGACTCTAAACTAGACTAGATTTCTCTCATTCTAGAACAATTCCTTTGCCCAGCTACAGTTATCATTTCATATTTTGCTTTTGTCTGTGTGCTTAGGGGTGGACTCCGGTTTCGTCACCCTGCCTCGCCTGTCCCGCTCGGAGCGCCAGCAACCCTCCATCTCTCTCCCCACCCCCCTAGCCCCCAACCTGCACCGGGGCTCACTCACCGACACCGACCAGCCCCTCCTCTCGACCCGCACCTCGGCCCTCCTCGCCACCGAACCCAAACACACCGCCTACTCCGACTCACTGCCATCCCTCACCTCTCTCGACTTCACCTTCGACCTGGGACCATCCCTCATGAGCGAGGTGCTGGGCCTGATCGACGGGGGACATCTTGAGGACCACGGGCACGCCTGGGAGGAGGGGTCGGCATGCGGGCTGACCAACGAGGGCTCAGAGATGGACTCTGCTACCATCTCCTACGTGGATTCCTTGCTCAGAGAAGACTGCGGTGGCGGGAAAAGTCCGAACTGGGACGAAGAAGAGGCTGTCGAAGTAAACGAACGAGTATATTCGGTTAAAATGCCCGATGTGGTGATGGGTTCGGCAGAGAGGGTGAAGGGAGGGGTGGGAATGGAGAGTGAGAGGTTTCAGAGCGCTACAGATGTGCTGGCACGTCACTACGGAGGCAGCAGTGTGGTGAAGGGACACTACAAGATGGACACTCACTCAGACATGTTCAGTAAGAAGAAAATTTCCTACTCTTACATCGAAGACGAGGACGAAATCAAAGTCTAAATAGGATATAAAAGTGATGTTATGGACACTTAAAGGGCCCATATTACGCTATTTTCTGATCTATGTTATAATGTTGTTTCCTCATCAAAAACATACCTGAAGTTGTGTTTTGCTTCATTCCCACATACTTAACAGCCAAACCCTGCAGAACTCACCCACCTTTAGTTCTTCTCGTAACCAGAAAACACATTTAATAATACAGGAATTTCTCCACTGTGTTTTTAAACTCCATACACAGTCATTAGAATTATTTTGATCATTTCAGCCTTGGATTGGCCAATCTCTACTGAACAAAAGGTAGCTGTTTACATAAGATTTACCACTACATGACATCACATGGTAGAGCAGAGCATTTTGAGCTTTGGAGATGTAGACAGGGTCAGGGTCTACTACACATTTGTCTCTATGGGGATGTTATTGCTTTATCTGGAATGTTCCACAGTATGGCATTAGACTTATCTTGCATTTATTTAATTACATGAGTTTTTATTGTTTAACATTATCCTGAAATGTAATGTAAGTTTGCTTGATCACGTTACCCTGCTTGTGTCCGTGGAAGTAGATAGGTTTAATGCCATACTGTGGAACATTTCAGGCAAAGCAATAACATCTATTGGACAAGCAGATGGTAGACCTTTAATCGGAAAAGTTACATAGTCCATCTTTAAAGAGTTAGGGTAAATAATAAAGCATAATTTCTACATAATTTCAGGTCTCACTGCATCTTTTAGTCTTCAAGTCACTCAGGAATGCACAAAAAGGGAGGTATCACACTACAATTATTACTCATTGGATATCAAGGGATCAGTATTTTCTGTTTAACACTAAAGCCTATAGCTGGTAATATAATGCTGCAGACTACAGTTACTCCGAGCACCTTGTATGAAAATGAAGTCTGACTCCTGTATTGCTTTTATAGAAGATTTGTCTTATATATTTTCTACAATTGTACATGAAAATATAAGCAGCCATTTTGTATGTATATGTATGTATGTATGTATTGTGACCACCGGCAGCAAATTGTGCAAATCGCTACCACGTGCTGCAGACAATAGCAACGATGTACTTACGATGATATAAATGGACAATAAAGCTATTTTGAATTGTTTGAAATTGTTTTATTTACACTTATCATAATTTTTTATAGTGTAATATTTTTTGCTTTATTCATATAACAGTAACTAGTAACTTTTTGAGTAAACTGTGTTACCACTCCACCAGGAAGTGTCAAACAAAAATAAATACAAGAAAAAATTGTTTAAAAAGAAAAAAAAATTGGAGGTATTGGATTGGATACTGATATTGTTGTAGCTGATAACAGATATTTACCAATAAAAATTTTTAATCCATAGAAAGACCTACAAATTCATGTTAAGTGTGTAAAGCTGACAATTTACTTTTAATTTTTGTTAAAATGTTATTACAATAACAGAACAGACAGAAACAATATCCGTACCAATTATTTGCTTCATTTTCTATATCAAAGCAATACTACATTTAAAAAAGCCTCCGATATCACTGATACCGATACTGATAAAAGCTAGAGTAATACAATTTACAAGCTTATCCAGCAGAAAACAATGTATATTTTTCTCACTGGGCTAAAGAAGGAACCTCTTTGGCCTGTGATGGCGGAGGAAGAGGAGGAGGACAGCTGGGAGCTTTCATTCCGGGCTTCTTTGGTGCAGTTTTTTTGTGGCTGGTCCCTGGAGCTCGGGGTGGAGGAAGAGGCTGAGTCCGACTGTTCTGAGATGGGGTGTCGAGGACTGTGGATGGGGCAGAGGGAGCAGATGGGGCAAGGGCGGGGGTAGCAGGGGGAGTGGGTGCCTGCATCCTGGGGGCCGGAGCTCTTGGTTTGGAGAACTGGGCGACTGGGTGTTCATTTTGATGGGTAGTTTTGGACATGAAGGAACGTTTGGCTGTGGAATAGAAATTGTGTTAAGATATAATTAGGCAGTTTAGGCGCACTATGTGATTTTTTAGGTTGGAGTTCCATCATCTGCTCATTTCTATGGATATGCCATTGTTCTGACATTTTTTAAATTACAAGTGGTTTTACTGCTCAAAAATACTTAGAAAAACAGGCATTCTGACTGTGAATGGCTTTGCCTCTCCACAAATCTGACCTGTAACTTGGTGTGGTTTGGTCTCCATGAAGACAGGTTTAATGCCATACTGTGAAACATTCCAGACCAAGAAATAACATTTCCATGGAGAAAAGTATATGACCGACCCATCTCCAAAAAACTTACACAGTGCACCTTTAAGTAAAAAGGTACTCATCTAAATACTGAAATAACCTAACCTGGTCATCTACGAGAAAGAAAACACTTTATGAATTGCACATATTCTGGTATTAAAAATAAACCACAAAAACAAATTATATCTGAGCTAAGTTAAAGTTGCACTATGTAACTTTTCTGATGGAGGGTCAGTAAGGAGATGTCATTGCTTTCCCTGGAATATTCACCAGTATGGCATTAAACTTATCTTGCATTTATTTTATCATGTAAGTTTATATCGCATTGAGAACAATGCATTTTTACTGTGTTTGGGGTCACCTCTCTCTCTCCACAGATGACCTGACCTGTAACCTGGCCTAGTGACATCACCTGCTTGTCTCCATGGAGAAAGACACATTTAATCCCACACTATGGAACATTCTAGTCGCAATAACATGATTTAGAAAGCAGAAAAGTTCAAAGAAAAGTTCAAATCATATAGTCAATATAAAGCTTTTGTCACCTACAGTTTATAACCACAGTGAGAAAAGTAAGCAAAAGTGTGCGGTTATTTCATCAAGTTAATATTACTCAACTAGAAGTAAAAAGTATAATGTAGTCTTCAGAAAGTAACTTTTGGCACCACTTCTTAAAATAGTGAAAACAATATTTTTTCTAAGATGGTTACAACTAGAACTTTTGTGTGTTATAATAGCATTTTGTGATGACGCATGACCTCAACGATTTATATTTCAGACTGTGGTGTCAGACTTCCTGTTTAATGTGAGCTTCCTGGTTTCACCGTGTTCATATTTTCTCTATATGGGTACTGGGTACTAATGACAGGCCACCAATTTGAAAGAGGAAAAGCGTAAGAGCTAAGAATGAGCTTGGGCAGTTGCATAATGGAAAAATACATATGTTTGAAAACAAAGAAAGGATGTAAGATAAGTGAGTGAGTGAATATATATGTTTTAATATATTCCTGGGCAATCTCAAGATGACATCTAGATTAAAGTACAGAAATAGACTTCACATGTGTTTTTGTACAACCCAATAATATCCCTTAAGGACTTTACAATCTGCTCTTTAATGTAAACTGATCTCTGCTCTGGACCAGGAAACTCCCCTGAAATCCTCTCCTATAGTAGTGGCCATAAGGCAGTGCGACTGAAATATCCTTGGTGATTGTAAAGGTAGTATCACTACAAATCTAACATGTGTAGTATACATTAAACAGACTGGCAGACGTATGATAAACATTCAGTTTTCTCCAGTTTTCTCGGGGCATGGAAACTTAAAGAGGGGGTATTTATTGCTAACACATGACATATTTAGTTTACCATGTTACCTTTTATTGTTTTGAAAATGTTATATTCTGCTGTTTATGTTTATAAGTTAAATTTCCTTTGAGTCTGCCCATAAGGAGGGTTTGAATAGGGCCTGGGAGAGATCACTATATTCCTCACTTATGCATGGATGATATCTAAAACTTCTTCAGACGTGTTTTTGATGAGTAAAAGCTCGATTTTGCATGATACCCCGACTTTAAGATCTTTTTGTATGAATAACTAAAAATGCAATCATAATCATAATTGTCATTTTCCTTTTTGTTTAGATCTTTTGTTCAGAAAAGTTGCTCACTGTTTTTCACCCCCATACTCTTTTGCCTTCATTTGCAGTTACAATATTCTGCCTGTTGAAGTGACTGGCTTCTCCGTGCGCCAACAGCTGGAGTCTTTGTGCCCTCTGCTGGTGTTTTTGGATAGAAATCAATTTACAAGTTCTAATCATTTCTACTGTACTTACGTTTATAGGGTGTTGACATCTTGACAAAGGCTCTGGGTGAGTCTGGGGGACCCTCCAGGATGGGCTCCAGTACCCCCTGCTCCGAGCACTGTTTTTGGGTGGGACTCTTGTTGGGTGCCACCGTCCGGACAGGGGGAGGAGCGGTTTGGCCTGATGAAGAGGCGATGAAAGAAGAGGAGGAGGTTGAAGAGGTGGAAATCAGAGCAGGACTAGGGCTCTGAGCAGAAGAGCTTGGGGTGATGTTCTGTGTTTTCTGTGGTGTCTCTGCTGTGGGACCGGCCCATGTAGATGTACCACTACGACCAACTGATCCTGATTTGATGAGGAAGAAGCTTGAACTGTCCTGGGACGCAGTGCTGGAAACAAGAAACAACAAAAAGGATTCATTAAGTCATGTTAGAATGTTATTACCTCATCCACCCCAAACCATACCTGGAGTTGTATTTTGTTTCATTCACACATGTTTGAGTAACTGTAATCTCCCAAACCCAAATGCTCTGTTCCACCTTGTGATCTCATGTGGAAGTGGAAGTTTTCAAGTGAACAGCTACCTTTTACCTTTAGTTCAGTAGACAATGGTAATTCCATGAAATTATCCAAATTATTCTAGTGAAGTCATTTAAAAACACAGGGAGCACATGACAAGGTAGAGTGTTTACTGTTTGATAGAAGAACTCTGAATTGCAAAATTTGTGTGAATGAAACAAACCACAAGTCCAGTCAGGTTTTAATGAGGATACAGCATTATAACAGATCAAAAATGTGTCTAATATGGACCTTTACAAAGTAATGTAATTTAAAAATTATTCTAAAACTTTTAGGGGATACTTGTACACTCTACATAGGTAATTATGTGCTATTTTGTGTAATATGTTTGGGTAATTTGTCTTATATGTAAGTTTGTATGTATATGTACGTTGCTAATTCTGTTAATTAGTATTTATTCTGCTCTCTATTCTTATTGAAGTCTTATTCTGCATAACCTTTATTCTGCAGAAGAAAGATATGCAAACCAAGGCATTAATAGGTGCTCAATAAATACTAATTAATGTCAAATTAACCAATTGCACGTATGCAAATTAACAGCTAAAATAAAGTGGCATAAAGACAGCAGTGATGGTAAAAGTAACCTCACCCAAGGTCCCAATGTAACTATGTGCTCAGTTTATTCATTTACTCAATAATAAAAAAAGATTGAATAACTCAAACATATGAACTAAAAAAAAGCCATGTCTTACCTGTTTGACTTTGAAAGCGCTGTATGATAGGAGGAGCAGGAGGATGCAGTGGAGGTGGTGGAGAAGGTTCTGGTCAGTTTCTCTTTTTCATAGACTAAAGATGGACCAGGCATGGACACCTCCGGACACTCTGGAACCTCTGGGATCTCAAAGGAGATAGCTGCAAATTTTCATTTAAACAGAAGATGACTTAAAAATTCACTTAAACATTTGCATTTTTGCATTATGATAATCAAACTATGAACTTTTGTTTTTAATTGAGTGCTTAATAACTTAAAGAAGAAGACATATTATGCGTCTATAAAATATGTAGATTATTATCTGTGTTTGGATCTTTTTTAAAACACAATGTTGATCTAAAATTACTTAGTAGAAGAAACAGGTCTACAGACTTCCTGTTCAAAACTGTAGAACTGATAGGCCTCCGCCTCCTCACAGTGGCATTTCATGACAGTAAACAACACATTTTCATGTATGTGTTTTCATTGTTTAAAAATGGCTATGTGACATTCTATGTGACATTTGTGACCTTACGTGTATGACCAGGTGTTTGATTGTTTTTGAATAATAGCATGTAAGGAGCAGTAGGTGGAAATAGGTGGTAGGTGAAAACAGAAAAAGCCTTGAATGCAGCAAAAAACAGGATTACTCACACATGAATCAGCACTTATATATAAAGGTAATTTTACATAATATGTCACCTTAAATACAACATCAGGCATTGGTTTCATTGTCACTCACTGGTTGTGTTTATTATGGAGGATCTGAGCCATGCTTTGTGACTGTAAATGAAGATACGTGTAAATAAAGATATGTGTAGGAGGTTTTACCTTCTGGAAAAAGCTGTGAGCAGTACTGAATGAGAGGCTCTATCACTGTGACAACTTGGACTGAAGAAGCTGAGGCCATGTCGAAGAGGGCAGCCTCCCTAAACCGCAGATACAAAAGACACAAGTTTTATGTATGAAATCAGTCTTAAAAATAGAATGTTGAATTCTAACCACCATACCGATAAAAAGTATTGCTAAAATTAATCGCTGACATACCCTTCAGCCAATGGCCACAAGAGGTTGGGTCCCAAGACAATAGCGATGTTACTGGGCGTCATTTTGTTCACAGCTTGCTGCTCTGATAGAAGCGACAAAAACTGGACCAAGTATCTAGGATTACAAAAGTCAAGAGCAAAATTATACATCAAAATTGTTCAAATTAAAGTTCAAGTTAAAAAAATTAAGATAAAGTATGTATCTTTCTGGAGGTGGAAAGTCAACTGTACGATTCAGTGGAAATAGAAAGTTAAAATCATACTTAAAAACATTTTCGATGCATGTATATATGTTTTATATCATACTGTGGAAAATGATAGTCAAAGAAACAACATTTCCATGGAAGCAAGCAGGAGGAAGTCCTCCTCCAGGTCAAATAAGAGTCAGGTTTGTGGAGAAGCAAGCAGTGATATAAACACACATATAATGAAAACACATGCCTTTTTTTAGTTTGTTTACTTCCACACTATGGAATAGTCTATGGAAATCTCCATAACAAATAATGAAAATAAACCTGAGATTATTGTAGTTTTCCCGGGGCAATTTTGTCAGCAATTCTCTAAACTGCTTTAATTTCTCTGTTGGCTCTTTTTCACTGCAAAGAAAAAAAGCAGTAGCTAAAATAAGAAACAATTATTTAAAAATGAACACAAAAACAGGAAGAAGGTACGGTACACACCCTGCCGCTTTGAACCATTCACTGTAGAGTTCAAAGGTCATGAGGGGTTCAGGAAGTTCACGCAGGTAGGACTTCAAAGCTCCTGTCAAAACGTGTTCATATCTTATTGCAAATGTCTGGCTGTGATGCAAATTCAGAAGTGCACAGGAAATAGCAGATTCTATGTCGAATAAAGTGAAAGGGGAAAAGGGTTTGTACCGGCTACGGCGTGAGGGTCCATGCTGAACTCACTGTGGTCCACTTTACCCTGGTCTAGACACGTTTTCAGTCTCTTGACCACTGAAGCTGCAGCTGCCAGACGAAAAAGACCCTATGATTCAAAGATGGAGATTTGGATTCAAAGATGGAGATAATTGTGAATAAAATAGACAATAGAACAAATAGTTGAGGAGGGTAAATGTTAAAGATGCTTAACAGTTTTTTCTTTGTAGATTAAGGTATACTTGTATTTACATCACATGAAACATAAACTCAGACTAAATTTGGAACTAAACCTGGAAGAGATCAGGACTGAACCAAGTCTAAAACAGAACCAAAGTCTATAACAGGACTAATTTAGGCTCAGACCAGGACTAAATCTTTTTTGGTATTTAGAATTAAACTAAAATATACATAAATAATGATTTTACATGTCATTCATTGTAAAGTGTAAAATTGACCTCTAATGGCTTAATTTAATAATAGAAACAGGGTAATTGTCTTCCTATTAAAAAATGCAGAACTCTTCATAGTGGCATTTCACCCTGGCAAGCAGCCCATTTTCATTCATGCATTTCTACTTTTCAAACATACCTACACAACACTTCTGAACCCTATGTTATGACACGGAGTCTAAATAAATTTTTAATGAAACCAAGTTAGAGGAAAGTAGGTAATAGAGGGTAGGTGAAAGGGTGAAAGTTCCAAATGCATTACTTAGGATTATTCAAACACGGATGAACCAATCAAAATATAACTTTGATTAAGCTAATGATGAGGGGACACTGTGATAACACTGATAACACTGTGATAAGCTTACACAAACTGATTTAGCATAATATGTCTCATTTGATATTATCTTTCACTTTGTTTTGTTTTTGTTTTATAGGTACAAATATGTCAATTAATATTTGAATTATTTTAAAAACATTAAACAAATGTTATTTTATTTAATGTAACTATTTTTGTGTGTGTTGTACCTCCTCTTTCATTCCTGTTCTGAGTAACATGTGGATGCACTCTTGTATGGGGGCAGCGATTTCTCTCTGGCTATGAGTCAGATGAGCCAAAAGAGGTTCCCCATAAACTCGCTGGTCGGAGACAGAGGGGGGGGCTGACCCTGTGATGTGAAGAAAGTGCATGAAGTTTTGAGCCATGGTTATAACAGTTACAATGGTTACAATGGTTTAAAGTACAAGTCAGTTATGTGGACACAAGAGTGAGTACCTTTCTGACTGTGGTTCTCTTTGAGCTCGCTAATGTTTTTGTCCAAGAATTCAAAAGAGCTTTTGTAGTATTCAGCTTGGAGCTCCAGTAGCTATAAGAAAACAGAATATCCATACATTTATTATTTATTTATTGTGTTGCATCTGACTTATTTACAACAGGTTGTTTTAAATAAATTGTTAACATATTTTTGAAATCCATTTTTAAAAATGCATATAATTATCTGCACATATATAATATATAACTAAGGAATAGACTTAATACTCAATAAAAAATACTCTATAAAGATAATAAAATATAATTTTCAACATTAAATAATAGTACTTCCTTTTATATTATCATGTGGCCTTATATCTGTGTTATCTCTCAGTTGTCCAGGTAGGTTCCAAAGAAGTTCAAGAAGATAATAAAGAAGAGGAACAGGCTAGAGGAGTTTGAATCCTTTTTAATATAAAACTCATCAGTATCAGTATTGGACTGGTTGGATATGACTGAATGTTGAAACCCACATTATATTGTCCAAAGAAATTGTGTTTTTAATTATTATTGTGGCATCGGAATTGATATTTAGAATCAAATCTACTCCTCCTGAAATGTTAGTATCGTGACAACACAACTCTGTGGCTTAGTGAATGTATTTAGCATACATTCACTAAGTCTTGTTTACTCACTCTAATAAAGTAGTCTGCGTAGTCCTCTTCTTTAGTGGCAAAATGATAGAGATCTGCTGAGTATTGGTCCTAAAAGAGCCAGAACACAGGAGAGGTCAGAGGTCGTGTGTGCTAACATATGTGTTTCACAGCGGGCTACCTAACAGTCGTACCTTGATGGTCTCCAGTCTCCTCCAGGCCTCCTCCACTTCCTCCCTCAGCCCCTCCTGCTTAGCCTGGGCTCCTGTGCTCGTCTGGCTCCTATGAACACATAAACAAACTATTGGAACAGACTAAGTGAGTATTGGAGACTGCCAGAACGGTGTTAGCTTACTTGATCCGTGCGTTGTTCCAGTCTCTTGTCAGCTTCACAAAATGCTGTTTGTTCCTGAGGATCTCTGGTAAATCTTCCTGATAAAGACAAGGCAGGTTTGGTGATTATAACATTGACGGAAGTTAGTTATGGGTATTAAAGATGCACTGGGTAACTTTTCTGTGTTTCCTGTTTGTCTCCATGGAGATGTTATTGCTTTACCTGGAATGTTACACAGTAACACATTAAACATGTATCTCCACGGAGACAAGGAGATGACGCCACCAATAATTAAATTGAATAAATTCAAGATAGGCTGAATGTCATATTATGGAACCTTCCAGGCAAAGCAAAAACATCTCCATGAGGACAATCAGGACCCCCACTAGAAAAGTTACATAGTGCACCTTTAAAAATATATTAAATGGAAATTAGAAAAAGTTGATGGTTGATATGACAAAAGGAATAGTCTATGTACTAATATGGCGTATCTTCAAACATGCTGGTATATTTTTTTACTATAGAGAATTATGTATGTGTCCCCATACTTCACTGAGCTTGTTGAGTGGTTCAAGGACATCCTTCTCCACTTTCATCTCAAACTCAGCGAGTGTGTAGGCCAGTCTCTTCTCCATGAAACAGCACATCTCCAACACTCTCCTGTCACATTAAACTCAAGTTAGCAAAAGTCATTTACAAAAACTTCATTTGAAAATGTAATTATAACAAAGCTGTACCATGCACTCTTGAAGATTTAAAAAAAAAAAAAGTTTAAAATACAATAAATTTAAACATAGCAACACAATCATAACTGACCCTGGCTTGCCAATAGATTCTGGAAGTTGTGAATTCCTAAGAAAATATAGTCCTAATAACAAAATCCCCCAATTGTGTCAGTCTGTTGTCACAAGGTGTATTTTTTTATTTTCAAACAGAACTGAAAGCCACAAGCCTTGAGGTGAGCACGTGAAAATACTTCCATTTTAAGCACATGCATATGATATGACAGGTCCTACACTTTCCATTAACATGTAGATAACGTCAGTAGATTTCAGATTTTACTAATAATCTTGCCTAATCATGTCTAGTTTTAAAATTTTTGTGAAGTAAGTTTACAATTACATAAAGGTACATAAGGATATAGAAAACCCACCAGGAAGGCCGATAATTAGTGGGAATGAATCACTTACAGAACCTTTATCTAAATACATAGACTTTCATATCAAACCTTTTGTCAGTGACTTGCCTTCCTTTATTCAAGACAGTACTCAGGTGTTAAATAAACTGAAACTGATTAAGAACATTGGAGAAGGATATCTTACAACTATGGACGTAGAATCATTATACACTAATATTGATCATAAAGATGGACTAATGGCACTGGAACACTACCTAAAAAAGAGAACTTCTGAGACAATGCCCCCTGCTGGATTTATATTAAAGCTAACAGAATGGACACTGAAAAATAACATCTTTCTGTTTCAGCAGCAACTATATAAACAACAAAAAGGCACAGCAATGGGAGCATGCTTTGCACCCAATTATGCAAATCTGTACTTGGGCTTTTGGGAAGAAAACTATGTATTCTCCAATCTGAACAATCTTCGAGACAAAATATTGTGGTGGGGACATTACATTGATGATGTTCTACTATTGTGGTCTGGGTCAGAACAAGAATTGTTACAGTTTCATTCTTACTTGAACAATACAAATGTCAATATTAAACTCAGCCTAGACTACTCCTTATCAGAAATACATTTCTTAGATTTAAATATTTATAAGGACCTTGATGGGGATTTACATAGCACAATTTTCAGAAAACTAACTGATCGAAATACAATTTTAAAAGCAGACAGCTTTCACCCCCCATGGTTGCTTCAGAATATCCCTTATGGTCAGTTTCAAAGACTACGGCGGATTTGTGATACTGAGTCTAACTTTGAAAAAAATGCTCAAGATATGAGCTGTAGATTCAAAAACAGAGGCTACACAGACAGTACTTTGTCTTTAGCCTACAATCGAGCCAAAAGTCTTAATAGAGAAGAACTATTGACTCAGAAACCAAAGAAAAATGTGAGTACTAATCAAATGTATTTTGTAACTGAATATGGCACTGAAGCAAACCGAATCAAACAAATAATCAAACAGAACTGGAGTATATGAAGAAGCGACAGCACCCTAAGAGACGCTCTCCCAGAGACCCCCACCATCACCTTTAGAAAAGCCCCTATGCTCAGTGATAGACTAGTGAACAGTTATCTCCCTCCTTTGAAACAAAAGACATGGTTGGACACTAAGGCTGGTTGCTACAGATGTGGTAACTGTACCTTTTGTGAACATGTACAACAGACGAACTTATTCATGGACATTAACTCAGGTCAAAGTTTTTATATTAGAACATTAATTAATTGTAACACTACCTATGTAGTATACAGACTTGAATGCCCATGTGGTCGTTTTTACGTAGGCCGAACAAAACGCAAATTGAAAAACAGACTGGCTGAACATAAACAGGCTATAAGGACATATTAGCCCCTGTATCCTATGGCCGTGCATTACAAAGAAGCCAACCATGGCAGCTGTAAAAGCCTAAAACTCTGTGCAATTGAACATATTAAAGAAACAATAAGAGGAGGAGACAGACTGAAAAAAACTATTACAGAGAGAAACCTACTGGATCTACACTCTCAAGGCCACACAGTTTCCAGGACTCAATGGAGAGTTAGATTTCTCCCCCTTCCTTTAAAACTACAAGCTTTAAATGTGTAATCGATCCTTGTTCTATATCCCTATCTTCTTGAAATTATTTAAGACTAGCCCTTAACTATATTATACAAACTATAGCTGAAGCACTTTTGAGTTATCGCACTCTATATATATCCTTACACTATGTATCTTTTTTATACTATTTTATACTATTTTCATATAATGTATCTATCTATGTATTGGTTGTTGGGATTTGCACCATTTATGTCTTGTATTATTGTATTTGAATTTGTTTAGCCTATAATTAAGGTTTGTTAGGCCTACATGTCCCATCATGCATCTAGGGGACTGTGGGCCAGCCCACTGTGAACATGTGACCTACACCTATTACTTTAAATCTGCACTGTGATAACCATCTCGAGTTTGCCCTGATGAAGGCTGAAGGGCCGAAACGCGTTGGCGTATTTTAACTTTATCTGCCATGTGGTATTATTTTGTACTTTTTGAGTGCCTCAGTTTTTTTCCCACTTTGTATTTGAGACTGGTCCCTACACTGAAGAGCACCAAAAGGACAATTCTTCACATTTTTTTGCATATCCAAGTAGCACTCCAAAGCCTTACAATTACATATGTAAAGATAATTTCATCATGTTAAAAAGAGACAAAACAAAATAACACACCTTTATTTTGTTGAATGAAGGTTTAAACAGTCAGAAAAATGCCTTCTGTGTGTGTGATTTGTCTCAAAATCGTGGGTGGACCCCTCCTTGAACAGCCACCTTAACGTGGTGGAGGGGTTTGAGTACCCGAATGACCCCAGGAGCTATGTTGATGGGCACTTCATGTCTCAGGTAGGGTCATCCAAGGTCCTGGGGGACAGGTCAAAAAGGTGGTTCAGATGAGCATCAGACAGAGGCCAGTTATGTCGCTCGGATTACCAGTACCGGGGCCCACTCCCTGGAGCCAGGCCTGGGGTGGGAGTCCGACACTGAGCGCCTGGTGGGCGGTTTCCCCCACGGGGCCCGGCCGGGCACAGTTCCAAGGAGCAACATGGGGCCGTCCTTCCGTGGACCTGCCACCTGTAGGAGGATCTATAAGGGGCTGGTGCAGAGGGATCTGGGAGGCAGTCGCAGGCGGGGCCTCGACGACTGGATCTCCGGACATGGAGACTAGCTCTGGGGACATGGCATTTCACCTCACTGGGGGAGAAGAAGTCTGAGCTTGTGCGGGAGGTTGAGAATTACCCACTAGATATAGTCGGCCTCACCTCAACACACAGTTTGGACTCTGGAACCCAACTCCATTTCTCTTGCGTTGCATATGGGGAGTGGTGGCGGGCTGTTGTGGGCCTGCTCATTGTCCCTGCAGCTCAGCCGCCATGTGTTGGAGTTCACCCCGGTGAAAGAGAGGACCACGTCCCTGCGCCTTTCAGGTTGGGGACAGGACTCGCACTGTTGTTTCGGTCTACTGGCTGAACAGCAGTGCAGAGTACCCAGCCTTCTTGGAGTCCCTGGGAGGGTTATAGACAGTGCACCAACCGGGGACTTCAATGCCCAACAACAGTGACACCTGTAGAGAGGTGATCGGGAGGAACAGCCTCCCTGATCTGAACCCACGCGAGGTTCTATTATTTGACTTTTGTGCTAGTCACAGTTTGTCCATAACTAACACCATGTTTGAGCACAAGGGTGTCCATCAGTGCACGTGGCACCAGGACACCCTAGGCCAGAGGTCGATGATCGACTTTGTTGGTATGTCATCTGACCTCTGGCAGCGTGTCTTGTTCACTCAGGTGAAGAGAAGGGCAAAGCTCTCAACCAATCATCACCTGGTTGTGAGTTAGGTCCGCTGGCGGAAGAGGAAGCCGCAAAGACCTAACAGGCCCAAGCGTATAGTGAGGGTCTGCTGGGAAAATCTGGCGGAGCCCTCTGGCAGGGGGGTTTTCAACTCGCACCTTCTCGCAGTGCTTCTCCCAGATTCTGGGGGAGGCTAGGGACATTTTTTAATGTAAAAAAAAAGTACTATTTATCAATAACTTGTCTTTAATTGTTGTTCTTTTTAGAAGGATAGTCTGGTATGTGCCCATTTTAATTTCTTGACAGTCTTTTCAGCACAAAATTTTATTAAAATAGATCTTAGACTCCCCACTTTGGGCACACCTGACATGGGTAGAGGTAGCCTATTCCATTTTAGAGCTTACTGCTACTTCCTGTATTAGCCAACTTTTTATTTTCTACTTTTCTTCAGCTTTTCTTTAACTGTCACTTAACTGATGTAAAATATGATAAATATTTACCACAGGTACTATCCCCCAAACCAAGCAATAATTAAATGAAGACCTGTCATGTGCACGTAAAGAACCATTCCTCTCACCTGATGGAGGACTCTGCATCAAAGTCTTTGAGACATTCAGCCATCCCAACAGACAACTGCATCAGAGGGAGTTTCTTCTGCAGGGGAAATTACATTGCACCTATTACATTGTTAGCACTAAATCCAGTTTCATTGTCATTACATTATTATAGAACCTATTATTATTGTTATTACACTTAATAAACCTTGTTATTGTTATTACCTTTTAATTACTAAGCCCATAGCCATCATTATTACACTGTTAGTACTAAGCCTAATGTTATTATTATTACCAAGCCCACAGCCATTATTATTTTGTTGTTTGTTCCGTAGGTGCTAAACCCATAGTTATTTCAACAGTATATTTGCCGTGTTGTTACCATGCGTCTCTCAGCATCTACTCCGGTCTGACTCTGCATACAGCTCAGCAGCTTTTTATGGAGGACCTGAGCAGCCTTTTTTGCAGGTTCCACCCGCTGGTCCACCTTTAATTAGCAAAAAACACAGTAAGTTTAATATTATCACTGCGAAAGCTTGGTTACTGGGCTGCGTTCACACTTACTGAAAATACACATAGTCCTGTTCTAGTTTCATGTGAATGCAACCTTAGCGTCACTATATTACTTCATATCTGACATCCGGCATAGCTGTCTGGCTAACGGTGCTGGACTATCCATTATGATTGTACATTTAGAGCAACCATTTTAAGTGTCATTGTTCAAAATAAAGGTTTAATCAATAAAGACAGTTATGTGCAAGTGTATGTGTTAAGTGTATAATTCGATACTTAATAGTAGGCCTATTCATTATTAGACTTACCCGTATGAGGTCTTCATGCAGGAGCTCAGCAGCATCATTAGACCTATAAATGAAAGTAAACAAGAGACAAGATTAATTAATTCATTAATATTGATAATACAAAATGTATGTACCAGCAACATGAACATTTCTGCAAAACAGAGATTGATAGTTATTTACTTAACTTACGTAAGTTTTAAAAGAAATTTTACTTTTCAAGCAGCATAATTTTACTCCTACTTGAGTAATATATTCAAGTAATTTTTGAGTAAGTTTTTGTTACTCTTCCCACTGTGAATAAGTATACAAGTGACAGAAGCTTTATCTTGTGACAGAAGCTTTATCTTGTTACACTGCTCCTTCAGATATCATTTAAGATATAATATATTTTCCAATGTTTGTGTCTGTCCTTATATCCTTGTAACAGCTTTTGTGCTTCAGTTAATGTTTTGTCCTTCAAATTTCATTAACAAACTTTAAGTTGCTCTTTCTTAAGAAGTAGTTTTCCCAAATATTATTTTTTACTCTTACTTGAGTAGAACACTACTTTGTACTTCTACTTGATTAACATTACTCTTATACTCTTACTTGAGTTCCAGTGTTTTTTTGTTTGTTGGTTTGTTTGTTTGTTTTTTCTGCTCTGACCACCTCTGCTGAAAAACTTACAGTAAGTAAGTTAATTAGTGCTTCTTAATGAGTGCTGTAGAGCAATATAAAATAATAGAGCTCATGGGTGCAGAGCATGACAGCAGCCTGTTCAAAGAGCAGCAGAGGAAGTCCCACCCTGTTTACACCAGAGAAGAAATCCCCAAGGTTGGAGCCACAAGTCAGTTCTCTTTTATTACTACTATGACTTTGTGTTTGGTGGAAACCATTGACTTCCACACACTGACAAGATGACATTGTTTGAGGGCTGGGATGGCCTCAAAGTGAAACTACCCTGGTGTACTGTCTGGTGTACACCTACATACATCCATATGTCAAGTTGATGAGGCTAAAGATAAATAAAACATATCTAACTAGGGCCTGGACATCACTGTCTATTGTAGCACAAAATATATTCTATATTATAAAGACTTTTACTTAATGCTTTTTGAGCAATTATGTCTACATGTGTGTTGCAAGTACATTGACAAATCTCATACGTACATGTTTTGGGCTGACGCTGTAAAACAGACATCTTTGCCATATGGAATTTGGTACTAAAACTAGTATCGAAACTACAGTACATATTTTGATTTGAGAAGGTATCGATAGTTAAAAAGCCACATTCATGGGACAGAAATGAACCTTTCCTGAATAGCTTTAGAATGATCTTGAGCTGGACCAGAACAAGTATAAGACCACACAGACTAGTATACGCCTACCATAGACAAAATACCTGGACAACTGAAGGGTTACACAAATACAAGGCCACGTAATAATACAAAAGAAAGTATTGCTATTTAATGTTGAAAATCCAATTTATTGTCTAAAAAAAGTGTTTTTTAATTATCATTGTGGTGTCAGAATCAGTATTGAGTACTGAGTCTATTTCTTAGTATCAAAATCAAGTTTGAAATTTTAGTGTTGTGACAACACTACTGTCAAGGTACAGTACTACACAAGGGCATCTTTTTCATGACTATTCTTGAAAAGGCTGAAGTAAGGTATCTATAAGTTCTCCTCTCTGATCATAAGGTGGTGAGAAGTGCTTGTATCATTAGTGTGTGTGTTGTTTATGTTTAGAAGTTAGAGTGGGCGAGGAGCAATGCACTGCAAAATGCATGGCCCTCCACAAGTATAGAAACCTGTCACATAATAGCTCCTAGAAATGTGGGTAACCTGAAAGTGTTCCAGCTGCATATGCACAATTTAAGCATGATACTGTGTGAGTTAAAAAACCCCACTCCTCCCTTCCTGCACCACATGTTTGATCCTCTCACCCACTGGCCCGCTTTGGTAACCTGCACACAGCAGCCTGAGGTTGCCCGCACTAAAATGAATGTTAGTTGTAAAGAGGAAGGATTTAAACTCTGTGGCATGAAATGACCAACACTTGGAGCATGATAAGGGAGTATGGCAAACAAATAGAAATTTGTTCCAATCATTTATATTGTTAATCATCTCCTTGGTGAGGTGACTTGTATTTAAATACCAAGGTCCTATTCATCATAGACCCAGCTTAGTTCTAGTCACTAGTCACTTTCAATATATGAAAGCTGGAACAATATTTTTGGGGGGTCAGTCTTTAGACTGAAAATGTACAATGCAAGTATGTATTTAGTCTTCCCTTTGAGCAGCCTGATTCAATAATAGACATACAATATAGGCCTGATTAATTTTCAAACTTAGTATATCTTAGTATATCTTCCAGTTGGTTTGATCATATCTAGTTTCACTTTCAACCAGGTTTGCATTTAGATCTGGTGCTAATTGGAAAGAAGTAAAGTAAGTAGTATGTAAGTAAAACCAGATACCAGGAAAAAAATACTGTAAGTAACAGTACAACATGAAAAAATCTGAAAAGATTTTGAGATGTAATAAAGCTTCAAATGTAGTGATTATGATAAAAAGATGTGCTGAATTTTTATTCAACAAAAACAATTGTAATTCCAGTTGTTTTTAATTGTTTATTTGTTGTTATATTTTTGTTTGCTCAAATGATGAACATGTTAAAAGTAAACCCTCAGCCTTTTCTATAGGTCTCAAACTATAAATACTAAAATACTTTTCAGTCCTGTTAAAAAATGTGGAGTAGAAGGTACAGACACCTGCTTTTAGATATAGTGAAGTAAAAGTTGTACTTAAAGGTGATAAAGGTGCATTGTGTAACTTCTCTGGTGGAGTGTCCATCACCCACTTGTTTCTATGGATATGTAATTTCTCTGTAATGTTCCACAGTATGACAGTAAACAGCTCTATCTTACATTTATTCAATTACAGAGGGTTTTATAGCTCAAAAATGCCTAGAAAAACAGGCATTCTGATGTTGAGGGGAGTTGCCTCTCCACAGATCTGACCTGTAACTTGGTCTGGATCATTCTCAATAAAAGGTTTAATGCTATACTGTGAAACAGTCCAGACAAAACAATAACATTTCTATTGAGAAATGCCTTTGATGGACCCTCCACCAGAAAAGTTACACAATGCACCTTTAAGTACAGTACTTCAGTACTTTTACTTACGTTCCACCACTGGCCTATTGTGTGAAACGCTGTCATCTAATAGTGGTTTACTTACTTCCCAGCTGAGCCCAGTTGCTTGAGGATGCTTAGAGACTGTCGGAGCATGCTGCCAGTTCAACCCAACACCACCTTTCTCTGCACTGTTGTCCTCGTCTGATCTCCAACAGCTCACCAGCTCTGCGCATACATCCACACACACAGCGCCCAGATGTTCATGAGGAGCTTTCGGCTCAGAATGCACTGCAGTTCTTACAGCCAATTGGTTTTAGTTGTGCATGTGTCAGCCGCCAGTTTTCGTTCTTGTTTCAATAGCAGGCTGTTGTCACATCTACAGCACAAGTTACAGAATGAGGAAGTTGCAGAGATGTTAAGTGTGGTGGGGGAGTTTGTATCTGCCACAAGGGACAGTGACAGAAATTAACATGAATATTAATAAGTTCTGATTTAGAATATGCCCTCAGTTTTCAAATATAGGCTACATTTTTTTAAATGTAAGTGGATAGTAGCCAGTTGTGTGCTTCTGTAATATCTAAAAGTACATGGTAAAAGGATGTGAGAGCTGGTCAAAAGAGGAAATAAAGGCTAAATAAACAGTGGTTACAAGATTTAGCCAGTCACTCAACAGCCTGCCTGAAATTATCCTATAATAATATATTACGATAGTTTACATAAAGGTGTAGTATATGTAGTATATAACTTTTCTTGTGAAGAGTGCACTACCTGTTAATTTCCTCTGAGATGTTGGATTGCCTAGAATGTTGCTAATTATGGCATTAAACATATCTTTATGGAGACAAGCAGGTGACAAACGCTACCAACCAAGTTATAAGTCAGATTTGTGGAGAGGTGAACATGTTCACAATTAGAATACACGTTTTTGCAGGAGGTTTCGAGCACTAAAAACACCTGTAATTGAATAAGTGCAAGACAGTTCAACTGAATTCCATACTGTGATCAGGAAACGTAACATCTCCATGGAAACAAGCAGGTGTTGAGCACCAGAATTTACATAATGCAACTTTAATCGGCCATTGATTGAGCTGTCTTATTACGTATTACATATATCACGTTAATTTTCATTTTTGTGGTCTATGTTAGGAACTTAACCTGTCTTGAAAACATCACAGGACATCACAGCATTCTATAGGCCGATGTTATTTAATACAGATGGGGGGGGGGCACCTAAAATGAATATTGTTCAGCTGCAGATTTTTGTTATAATATAGCATGTTCTTGGGTCTAAATAATAGAAATGATCAGGTTTTATATTTGACAATTTACCTTTCCGGTATTTCATGACAAAGTACAATGAATTCAATAGGAAACATGAAATTATCACAATCTAAAAACCACCAATTAGCAACACAACTGAGTCAAAGAAATGAAAACAAACAAAAAAACAAAACAAAAACTAAACACCAAGAAATTATAGGGTAATTCCGATTAAGTTTATGATAGTATCTCACCCGCAATGGATTGCTTCAACCGAACCCCCTGACCTGTTGAAACCCGAGGAGGACGCACATGGTAGTAACATGGATAAACACTGCCCCCTAGTGTTAGTAGCGGGATACTAATCATGAGGTATCTTGTACTTGGGATTACGTTTTCAAAATGTTTGTAAATTATTATATTTTAACTATAAAATAAGAGAAGAAAAACTGCAAAAAAGGTTTAACATGCCAGCACATTATTTTCTTTAGAACAGTGCTTCACAGAGGATAGATGTTTGTCAGATTCAAGAATGTGATGATGTCATACTCCCGGATGGAGGGCAAGATAGCTTTTCCTATTGATTACATTTCCTGTTGATGAATTTGTATAAATATCCAAATGCCTAAACTTTCAATTTGATCTTTTCAATTAGTGACAAGACCCTAGAACTCACTGTAACAGAATTCTGCATCTTAATCAGTCATTTTTGGCACCCATGTGATGTCATCTGAAACCATACCACTTTTCCTCTGGAAAAAACTAATTTACTGCTATATAACATTTTTTATTCAATTTCCCATTTACATGAGGTGTAGTTTTAGCCGTTAACCATATGGTGTTCAGTTACTGATAAGGAATTTAACATTTTATCCAAGACGTATGCTAGCTAGCTGTTATTTGATCCCCCAACAGTGTAAATGCATTACATATTGTTACAAATAATAACAGTAAACAAGTATTTATTAACTATCAAACTTGAAAAAAATGCAATGTTTATTATATATGGTTCTGTCAACAAAGTGAACAAGGCTTGAATAATCAGCACAATAATAGTAATAGTTTGTTTTTGTTTTTTTATTGCAGGCAATTCAAGTAATATTTTGATTGGATACATAAAGGAAAGATGGACAAGTTTTAAGCTCATTTCTGAAAAATTATTTGAAAAAAAAAAAAAAAAAAGTTTCTCTGTAAAGTGACTAATACTGTCATAAACTGGGAAAAGTTAACTGTAGAAAACATGATATGACATTCTAAAATATGTAATGTGCCAACTTTGTTAAAGTTTTGAATAAAATGCTAACAGGTCAGTTTGGTCATGAAGTAAGTAGCTCTGTCTCATTACTTGAACTTAACAATGTATTTTGAGAAGAATTGAATGAATACCATAGTCCAAATGCACTTATTTTGAAAACCTGACTAAATGAAGTTAAAGCACCAAAAACATCCTGAGGGACGCTCACTGTAAAACCGGTCACTGAGTAAACCTGTAAAATGTATAGAATGGAGGAATGGAAAGAACTTCAGCAGCTTTACAATTAAAACCCTGTGGAGAGGATAGAGAAAAAAGGGTTGTTCAACTCTTGGAAAACCTAAGATTGCCTCCTCCGTTACTCAGGAGTCATCGAAGAAGAGGAATCCCAACAGCTGCTTTCCACTTAGTCCGCCATCGCTCCACCTGTTGTCCTGGATCTGAGCGCCATCCTGGGGAACCCTCAGGATGACTTTGAGGGACAGGGAGCGAGGAGCACCCTGCCATGACAGCGCTCAGTTTGGTCCCTCTCTGATATGCATCTTCAGTCTTTCTCCATCCCCTGAGACGCGTGTGCATGTTGTACGGTGATGGGCTAACGCTTTCCTTTGGCTTCTTCGGCTTCTTTTTCTAAAGAACATAAAATAAACATTCCACTACTAAGATCTGCTGTTGATTCAAAACACACAAGCAATAAATTACACTACTGTTATGGTTAAAAAAAAAAAAAGTGTACCCTTCCTGAGTTCTTCTCTCTTCTTGGCAGCCTCCTCTCTCTGTTTCTTGATGATAGCCAGTCGAGCCAGATCAGCCCTGGCCTGATCTGTCTTCCCCTCAAGATGCAGCTTCATGTAGCGTTCTTTTGACTTCTGCTTCTCTATCTCCTCTCTGGTAAAAAGTACATTTATATAACTTGGTTCAAATGTTTTACATAGGACATATCAGACAGTGAACCAGAAGCTACCTCTCTCGGCGCGACAGCTCCTTTGGTGCCTCGACCTCTAGCTCTGTCACCTTCTTGCTCTTCTGAGAGATGCGGTTGGGATTCTCGATTTCAATAAGACCTTCGACCCCACTCCTTTTCCTGTTCTGGGGTTAAATGACAAACACTATAAAAAAGGTCTGCCAAATACAAATGAATGACAAACCAATTACATCATGTCAGTTTTTTTTATTTGGAATGTTATGACGACAATTTAGTTTTAACCAATATAATAATAATTTGAGCTTTGTTTTAGCCAGTGGTTGAATGTAACAAAGTAAAAGTAGTAAAGTAATAGTAATAAGTAGTAAAAATTCTGAGGCCAGGAATCTGTACTTTCTACTCCACTACATTTTTGAACAAGACTAAAAACAATTTTTTTATTATAGTGTGAGACCCTGTAAAGGCACATTCATTAGTTTGAGCAAACAAAAATATGCAAGTAAAAACAGCCATGAAAAAAACATGAGAACAAAATTTAGCACAAATCTGTATTAAAATCACTACACTCTTAAAATGTGTGTGAAATACTTGTACTTTTAACTCTTTAAGTACATTTTAAACCAGTACTTTAAAACTTTTACTGAAGTAGATGTTTTTCATATGATACTTTTACTTTCTTTGCTCTGGTATCTGTATTTAGAAAATTGAGTACTTCTTCCACCACTGGTTTTAAAGAACCAAATCATACACATCATTCTGCCTCAAGGACAAATTTTATGAGATCTAACTAAAACATTGGTTTGATAATAAAGTTAGTCCTTGTAAATCAGTGCAGCTTCATTTCTTTTTCTCTATGGTAACAGCATTAACAAAAATGAATTCTCTATATATTATATACTCACTTCAGATTCATCTTCACTGCTGCTGTCGTCTTCAGACTCTGAAGCACTGCCCTTCTCTGCTCCAGCTGCCTCTTCCTGACAAAACAAGCACATTAATACCATTACTTTTGTTTCTTACACAATTAATTAGAGGGTTTTATGAGGAAAAAAAGTTTACATACCATCTCTCTTTGAGCCCGCATTTGTCGGTCTATCTCCTCTGGGTTGCTGAACTGCTTCCCCCGGCCTTTGTGGCCCTTTTTTCCTGAAATTACAGGTCTTCATTATTGCGTTGCACAAGTCACCATGATGAAGACACTTTCCATCTTGATCTTCAGTCTATAATAGCACAGTAATCTGGTTTTCTTGTCCAACTACGCAGGATATTAGTCTGCTTAAATGCTTAAATATTGAGACCACGTAATGATTGGCCGATGAATGCGCTCATCTATAATAAGTCGTAGACAGTCCAATAATTAAACCTAGTGTCCATTCAGACTTATTTCTTTTGTGTTTTAAAACAAACAGAACAGGCGCCATTGCTCAACACATTGTCCTAGCCGGTTGAGATTCCCATTAATAAGTACTATAGAGACCAAATTAAAGCCCTTGATGACCATAATAAACAGATTCATGACCACACAAACTTTAGGGTTGACCGGTTAGCACATGGAAACCGAAACATGTGAGAGTAGAGAGCTATTTCATCAGCTAGCCACAGGAGCTAGGTTAACTTGTTAGCTACATTCAGGGTTTTTCAATCCCACGTATCTGATAGAAAAAAAAGTCTTACCACCACGCGGCATGACTGACACTCAGACAGATCCACACGATTCCCGAAAATAAAGGAGGTATTTAAGTGACGAACGGGTAGTAGTAAAAATCCACTGCTCGTTGCTCCCGCTTGCCGTGTAGCGCCGCAATCACAGGAAATGAACTCCGCACATGCGCAGTCAACTTGTGCAGCAGGTGACCAGATTTGACTTTTATTTCACAAAATAAAAAAATATGCAACTAGATAACAACTACTTAAGAAACAATGATATTTACAAAAATATGAATAACATTATTTTCATTTTGTATTTTACATATTGTAAAAGTAATACACACTTATGACAACAATTATTGATACTTGGCAGTGACATCACGCTGGGGGTGTTATGCAGGTATGTGTATGGCGGTTCACCAGTTAGTTACCATAGAGACACAATGCACAAATTAGCAACTTCTGCCAAAAAAGTTTTAAGATTGTCTGAATCCTCAAGAAAACAAATACAAAATGGATTTAAACAACACATTTGTGCCTGGGATGAACACGTGTACATTGTCCCATTTAGGCATTTGATTTTCAACAAAAAGGTTAGAGTGACTGACTGGAAAACTCTAGTTAATTCTAGCTAGCTTTTCACTAATGTTATTTGAAAGGGACAGTACAAAATCAGTTCACCTGCTCTAGTTCCAACTTAGTCAGTTCTTTTTCAGTTTGTTTGTGTTCAGATTTAAGTCTAACAAAGCCTCAGACAGACCAGTGCGCACCATTATCATCACACCCCCAGGGAATGTTAATGACATCAGCTGCAATGTATCGATAACAAAAATCAGCATATTATATACATTTGCAATGCTGTAATGTTACAGTCATTTGCAGAACCATCAAAAAACACTAGCATCATGTATGTAAGAAAGCAGTGGGCAGCTATGCATTGCTACAGTACAGTAAATATTGAGTGTAGTTATTATAGCTTTTATGACACAAGTGATTATTAGATGGTTTGCAAAATAAAAAATATAAAAACAACACACACACAAGGCTCAAGAATCTTAAAGAATATTTAAGTCCCTTATGTTCGATGAGGATTTACATCTTCCAATTCCTTCTCCATCAGGTGATATTGCACCGTTGTCTCTGTCAGCTGAAATAAGAATTCAAAAGATGTAAGTAAGAATTGAATCAACAATCATAATAGGTTGTGGAAGGAAATCAAATAGTTTTTTACCATGTCCATGAGAATTTCAATCTTCATTTTCAGAAAGTTGTTTTCTTCTTCTAATTGTGCATTTCTTTTCTTGAGTCTCTGCATTTCCTTGTTTGATACAGTTCCACCAGACTCTTAACAGACAAAATTATTTTAATAATGAAAATTCATTACACTCAGGCATTGCTAAATGTTATAACACACTTAGCTAATCTAGTGTATTACCTGTTATCCACTGCCCTTCTTCAAATTTCCAGGTCTGGCCTCCAATGTTCATACAGGGTGGTCCATATTCAGTGCCTAATTCTATTTCTCTCGTTGATCTGTCCAACTAAAAAGAGAAAAGATATACAATTCATAGCTCGTACCTTAAACACATTTATTAAAACATCTCACTGAAGCAGCATTTAGGTGTAAAAATGCTGTAAATACTGCTGTCCGTCCTATAAAAATGAATCTTTTTGTGAACTCACTGTGTGGAGGCTTGATAGAGAAGCAGCTTTTCGAGCAGGCGTCTTCTTCGGACTAAACGTACTTCCAAACAATGGCATCCTCAGTGACTTTTTTATCTCCTATAAAAATATGTTACACATAAAACAATGTTAAATAAGAGGACTCTGGTTATGAGCACCGCCAAGCTGCAGTTGAAAACCGACAAAGCGCGAAGCGTCTACGGCTGCTGGTTGCTACAGTAACTGAGCTAATGCTAAGCAGCTAGCACTACTGGCTAGTATCTGGGCCCGCTACTCATACCTGTATGCCCGAAACGTATTGATAATGGTGGTTGCTTCACTGGTTCGTAATTAGTTGAACTTCCACTGTAAATATATCAGATATTTACCTCCATGTGGGCTATTTATTGTAAATTCCTGATTTGCAGCTGCCTTTATCCTCACCACAAAACAAACTTCCCTTGCGCATGTGCAACTGCGGGGGAATATGAAGTTGACTAAAATCCCATTACAACTATAATATACAAGAAGGCTTGTGACAGTGTAGTTTGCTGTAATTTGTAAGTACTTTGAAACAAAGTTGAGACTGAAAAATTAATGCGCAGTTAACATTGTGCGAATGGGAGTTAATATTGCATTAGCACCCCTTTTCTAATGGAATGGCCCAGCAATCGTCACCTCATTATGGAAAAATGTTAAACTTGGGTTAATATTAGAGCAGTCTATACACAGAAAACAAAGTACAGAAAACAAAACAAAATGTAAAAATGATAAAAAATGTCATGCTAAACAGCAAGTACACCAATTTCATTGTTCAAATTTTCTTTTGGTTTGTCTATTTTTATATCAGATAAGCCACGCCCAGTTTTACGCAGCCCCAGTGGCCTAATGGATAAGGCACTGGCCTCCTAAGCCAGGGATTGTGGGTTCGAGTCCCATCTGGGGTGGACAGTGTTTTTCACTTTTGATGTAGGTTATATTGTTATTTTAAATTTCACAGCATGCTACACTAACAAAATTTTTGATTCCGCTGATTTTTATTACGATGTTCTCGTCTGAAGCCGTGAAAAAAATGAAGACATTCAGACAAATGTGCATTTTTCTCAGCGCGTTGATGGCACCAGCTCAAAGTTACAGTAAGGCATGAAATATTAAAAATATGTCATAATTTAACACAGCAGAAATATTCCTAATTTATTTTTAATTAGTCCAAACTAACTATATTGGCTTACCTTAATACCGCTAACCAGTGCTGCGAACTTGCTAGACTTGTGATTTTCGCTTTTATTCCGAATCCAGACGCTCGAAGAAAAAAAAAAAAAAAGTATTCTATCGATTTCATGTCACTTCTAGTCGTATATTTGTAATAGAATTGCATTACAAAAATGTGTTTATAAATAAACATTCTCCCTAATACTTTCAATACAATAAAAAAATATTAGACTACCTTATATAATATATGTTATCTAACTCTGTGATCCCTTTCTCTATTGCAGCAAAGCTCACAGAGGCCACGGTGTATTGGGATGCGGCCCAGAAGAGCGTGGTCCTGAGGGAGGGGGTGATGGAAGCTGACGGAGGAGCCTATGGTTACTTCAATGACTCTCTGCTCCTGACTGGGTGGAGCGTCCTGGAGATCTGCGCTGGATGTGGGAGAAAGGCGGCAATCGAAGATGAGATTACTTTATTCTTGGCAGGGTACCTGGAGGGGTTCCTCACTGCTGAGTGAGTGCCAAGTGTGACAGTGTTAAGGAAAATATCATAAAGAAAGGTTATGTTTTCTGGAGAGTGGAGGGTCTGTCACCTGCTTGTCTCATGAAGCAGGGTCACGTCTCAGTCTTACAGATCTGACCTGTAACTTGGCCTAGTCTATCACCAGCTTCTTTCCATGGATACAGATTGGTTTGATGCAATATTGTGTAATATTCAAGACAAACATTTGTTGGGTCCTGCCACAGAAAGAGGAACAGTACAGAAGGCTATTCATTACATAGATAACAGTTTGATTGGTTGGTTGTTTTTAAATTTTTTATTTTTTTTTTCAATCCACAGTCAAATGTCTAGCCACTACTCCAATATGTATTCACAGCTTGTGAAAGATGATGTTGTGCTCAGTTCCATAAAACGTTTTTTAAGGTGAGCTTAAACAGTATCAGGTTTCAATTTAGATAATAGTTTTGATTTGCTCACTTAGTGCCCTCTTTGAACAGTAAACAGGACCTGTGGGCAAGAGAGCAGGTGAAGCTGAGGCGCGGCACTGACCCCTTGTGGCAGCACATGGGACTGCTCCTGGCTCAGCTGGATGGTCTCCAGGCCGGAGCTGCACAGTGGTCCAAAAGTAAACAGAGAGAGGTCTGTGAGTGAAGAAGAGGTGCTTAGAGGCATGTCACAGGTCCTCTTCATCTGTGTCTCCCCTGTGTCCCCCCTGTGCCCCCAGCCTCTTTCAGTGTTCTCCATCCAGCTCCTGAACAGCATTGGAGACCTACTGGACCTGGTCCCAGCTTTCACACCGCGCTCCAACTCCTCTGGGCCTGCTGCCTTCAGGACCACAGGGATGGGCCACTGCACAGCTCTTATAAAGGTCAGCCTCATGCCTACTTACTCTGATTGTTGTTTTGTATTGCCTGGAGTAAAAGGTAATGAGCCTGCTGTTAAATCCTTTATAAAGTTAGTACAAATTTAAACTACTGAAACAGCTGTATTTAGGGTTTATGATCTAAAACCTGAAAGGTGGTGTAGTGTCTGCCACCTGCTTTGTCTCAATGGAGATGTCAGTACTTTGCCTCCAACGTGTTTCCTCCAATGAGCTACCTTTATAAAATGAAAATGCCAGAGAGCTACTAATTTTAGTGGTGGCAACAGATTGAGAAAGTATGATTTTCAGGTATTTTTGAGCAATAAAAACAAGTGTAATTGAATAAATGCAAAATAGATGTCTTTATGCACATATATTGGTGGTAAAGCAGTAATATCTCCATGGAAACAACCTCCATCAGAAAAGTTACACAGTGCATATTTAAATAAGCATGCAAATCTTATTGGCAGCATATAAAACAGAAATATATATATTTTTAACTGGTCTTCTTGTGACTGTGGATGAGCAGCGGCACTACTCTAAGCTTCTCCTGGGTGATTGAGCTCTGCAGCCGATCACTAAGAACAGAAATCAACTAATTAGAGTGATCTATTGTGCTCATAGTTCCAATACTACTTACTCATATGTCCAATCACATTTTGCCTTGCTTCTCTGTCTCCTAGGTTCTACCAGGTTTTGAAAACTTACTTGTGGGTCATTCCAGCTGGTATACTTACACTGCTACCATGAGGATCTACAAGCACTGGGACTTTAAGCTCTCTGACCCATACTATGCTACTGGGAAGATGTCATTTAGCAGCTACCCAGGTACTACATAACTGAATATTTTCTTTTTCTGCAAAGACCATTTTATATTGATGTTGACACTACGCTCTGCTTTGTCTCCATGGAGCAGCCTGTCATGGTGAATTTTATTCCCTAGCCAAAAGTCTCATTGCTCAAAGATTTGCCAGGAGAGAGAGGCAGGCTATTGAAATCCTCTTACTGTTTTGTCGTTATCACAACACAAGTGGGGCACTATTTTTAGAATGCACAGGCTAAAGAAGTTACTTGACAGTATATGAAAATGATGAATGGCTGTTTATTTTCAATTTGGATGAATTTATTTCACTTACTAGTGTTGTCATTTTAATACCAATTTTAATACCCAATTGATCATTTTAAAAGCTCTTTTTTGACAATATTGTAATTTGAATAATAGTATTTATTTATTATACTATGTGGTCTTACACTGATTCTGATAAAAGTTATCCAGTTATTTGATTCTTGATAAAATGAGTATCTAGCTTCAATAATAGTCTTAGTACTGATTTTCAATACTTTTAACCCTAATTTTTACTGTAAGCAGGTCTGTATCTCCACAAATACAAATACTACTACTTGGCCCTGCTTCTGCTTGTCTCCATGAAAATGGAATTGAAAAAAATACCTTTGACTGTATTATTCCACAGTATGGCATAAAATGTACCTATCGTCATGGTTACAAGTATGGTTTTAACTTTCTATTACAGACATACCACCTCCCATAAGTTGTGATGTGTTGTGATGTAAGATGTGGTGTTTCTTTAATTGGAGCACAGTATTTGTGATAATAATAGTAAAAAAACAAACAAAAAAAACCCAACACATTACATGACATTATTAATATAGTCATCTATTTAAATTCAAACCTAAACTTGTTTAAATAATCAATTGCTTACACTTAATACAGTTAGTCCCAAATGAACAGTTCATTCACTTACTTGCACATACAAAAAGTACTTAATAAAATAAAATTTTCACTAGACTGACAGGACCAAATCACAGTCCGATTATATAGTTATTTTTCACCCAAGCTCAAAATATGTTTAAGTTTGTTTGAATAAAATCTCCTCTTCAACATGTCGATGTAGGTCTCCTGTCCTCTCTGGATGACTTCTACTTGCTGGGGAGTGGACTGCTGATGACCCAGACCTCCATCAGTGTGTTCAACTCCTCCCTGTTCTTCTCCCTCAGCCCTCACAGCCTGCTAGCCTGGCACCGAGTCCGCCTCGCCAACACGCTGGCACGCACCGGCCAGCAGTGGGCGCGAGTCTTCTCCAAATTCAACTCAGGTACAGAGCCAAGAATCTCCCAGAGAGGCAATAAATGGTAAATAAATAAGGAAATAGAAATTAGATATTTTGAAAAAAAAGAATAGAAAAATGCTAAAATGAGGCTTATGTTAAAAAGCACTTTAAAAGGCCCATATTGTAATATTTTCTGTTCCATGTTATAATGTTTTCTTATCAAAAATATACCCATGTTGTGTTTTGTTTCTTTCACATAAGTTTAACCATGTATATTTAGGTTGAGCTGTTCGAGCTCTGTTCCACGTTGTGATGTCATATGGTAGTGCTCCACTGTGTTTTTAAACCCAATTTACCTTCAATAGAGTAATTTTGATAGTTTCAGCCTCTTCTGATCTAAAGGTAAAAGCTAGCTGTTGACATGAAAATAGAGCTTCATGACATCACAAGGTGGAACACAGCATTTTGAGCATTAGAGATGTAGAAAAACTTATAATAAAGGACCCAAACATACCCAACATTACCCAAACATGTGTGAATTAAACAAAACACAAAACCTGGGATGTTTTTAAGTTTACAACATTTGAACATGACTTTAAGCTTACAAGAGTCAATTTTGTGTAATATAGAATCTTTAAAATGATAATGTTTTTGATAAAGAGAAAGTATAATTGTTGATGCAATTTACTTTTTACATTAACATGATAATAATTATGATACAATTTTTGCCTATGGGGTAAAAACACAACTAAATTACAAACATATAGGCAATGTATTTGTGCAATAAGCTTTAAAGGCCTGAGCTAACTGATACAAACCTGTAACACCTGCCTTGTTTAATCATATTTCTTAGTGAATTCCAAAAATACCCACTTCAAACTAACTTGAACTGACAAACATTTGACTTGTTCTTTCTACAGAGGTATTTGAAACTCAAGCCCATATTTCTGCGATCAGAGACAGTGTAATGAAATGAGCAGAGATGAAAGGGAAAATTCCTCGCCGTAGAAAATATTTAGCCGGACAGTTTTCCATGTAGAGATTAGACAGCTCCTCTAACATCCACCCCTTATTGCTCAGCATATGTGTGTGTGTGTGTGTGTGTGTTAATTGAGCTCCTGCTTTGATCTCGTGCTGTGTCATGTTGCCATGGCAGCCCAGTGGAGACAAGGACAGAGTGTGCCGGAGCCTTGAGTCCCCCAATCACCAGATGTTCAACAAGTTTGAGATGTGGTCTAGTATTACAGGCCAACTATAGCAGCAACCAGTAGAATAATATAGCCAGCATAATCACTGAAAATAAAAGTAGACATGATGAAATTTAAAATGTTAAAGGTGTATTGTGTAACTTTTCTGGTGGAAGGTTCTTCAGAAGCTTTTCTTTTCTTGGAGATGATATTGTTTTTTCTGGAGTGTTTCACAGTGAGGTATTAAACTTTTTTATCCTCATGGAGTCAAAACCAAACATAGTTACAGGTCAGATCAGTGGAGAGGCAACCCCACTCAAAGTCAAAATGCTTGTTCTAGGTATTTTTGAGCTATAAAACTACTTGTAATTTAATAAATGTAAGGTAGATATGTTTAATGTCATTCTGTGGAACATTCCAGGCAGAGCAATCACATCTATGGAAACACGCAGGTGATGGATCCCAAACCAAAAAGTTACACAGTGCACCTTTAAAAACACACTTTTTGATAGGTAACCTGAAATCAGAAGCTCTCTCTGACTGGCTGGTTGCATAATATGTCACAGTTGAATTGAAATCGCATTTTGGCACATTTAACAAATCACAGATGTTGCAATTTTTGAGGTAATAGAATATCGTCCACAGATAACAAAATATCCTGTCTATTTGGATTAAATATTTACAAATCATTGTGAAATGGCTGTGTTTCTTGAATTAGTTTATCAGTTGATATTTCAGCCTTCTCTCAGATATTACTGCTCATGGACATGTCTTTAAAAAGTGCTCTGTGAAATGAATCCAGATTTTAAGCCTTATATTGCAAATGTAATGCTAATCTAATACTTTGCCCACAAAATCATGTAGAAAAACTGTTTAGGCTACATTGCTTTTTAACAAAGTCACCATAAAAACATTATGGAAGTGCTGGCTACTTGTAGGCCTATAGCAGAAGCTAGCAGTATATCTTCATAATGCTTCTTGCTACAAACTAAGCTAAATGCTTTTCTGAGGTATTTTATTCATTTAAGAAATGTATTTTATTCTACTCTTAACTATGAATGTGGAAAAACAGAAGAATGATAGAATACATAAGAAATGCAGAGGGCTAATTTCCCTATGGTGACAGTAAAGTGTGTTTGGGCCACATTTTTTCATTTCTTGTGTTACTATATGTGCTTGATCTTTGCAATTCTTATGAGCTGTCCATGTTGACCTGCCAAATATATGTATTCTATCTCTTTCCTCTTGTCTATCAGGTACATACAACAGCCAGTACATGGTTTTGGACCTCAGCAGGATCACACTGCGTCACAGCGTCAGGGACGGGGCTCTGACTGTGGTGGAGCAGATCCCAGGCAAAGTTATGCACTCAGACCAGACCCAAGCTTTACGCAGAGGTAAATAGGAAAAAATTGTATATAGTATTAATATTATTGTTGTTTCCCCTCACCATTCACTCCCCAAAGTTGTATTTGTAGTCATTCATGCATGTTTGAGCAATCTTTAATCCATAGTGAATATATTAATGGACATAGTTAACCCGCTAGGCGCCGCTTTCCAAACATAAAACTGGAAACTTGTCACTGCTCTTTCTGTAACTGCTGCTGTGAGCCTCATCATTTTGGTTTTAAAATGCTCGTATTATCCTGCTCTACATGATTCTGCTGTTTTTAATTTGCTATTACCACTGCCAAATTTGTCTGTTAATAAATTCATATTCCTAACGGCTCTTTTTTGTAATGAGGCTTACAGCGATGTCAGCTCCCACTGGGTGCTTCAAGAGGGCCTGCCACCTGCTTGTCTCTATGTTGATGCTTTGCCTGTTATTTTCCACAGTATGGCATTAAGTCTGTCTATCTCCATGGAGACAAGCAAGTGATAACACCTGGTCAAGTTACAGGTCATTCAAAGGAAACATGCATTGCGCTCACACTTGCAATGCATGTTTCACAAGTCTATCAAAACACCTGTATTGAAATAAAGAGATATAAAAAAGATGTGTATGTTTAGTGTATATTGTGAAACATACAAGGCAAAGCGATAACATCTCCATGGAGACAAGCAAGAGTTACATAGCGCACCTTTACGATAGATTACCTTTTTATCATGTCACCCCTCACCACTAGATGGAGTCACAAGCTGTTACACTTTGTCTGCTCTTATATACCAGGTTATTGGCCATCATACAACATCCCATTCCACGCTGAAATCTACAACCTGAGCGGCTTTGGTGTCATGTGGAGAAGATTTGGTGAAGACTTCTCCTATGACCTTTCACCTCGAGCTAAAATCCTGAGGCGGGATCAGGCCAAAGTTCACAGCCTGGACTCACTCAAACAGCTCATGAGATACAACAGTATGTATCTAGACTACTGATTGAGTGTTGTTACTTCTTGAGTTGTGAAGTGCCAGTCAGAATCACTAAAGTTTATTTCAGATTACAAAAGAGACCCATACACAAGAGGGCATCCATGTAAAACCATCTGTTGCCGTAGTGACCTGAGACAGAGGAGGCCGCGGCCAGGGGGCTGCTATGACACAAAGGTATACGATACATTATGCAGTGCTAGAAAGATGACTCAACAGAAAGATCTAAATGCAAATTAGCCAACTGTGAATGCAACTAAATAGTCAATTAGTGGGACCACCGATGGGAGGGTGTGACTAAGTCAGCTGTTGATTTTTCTTGTGAAGAAAAGGGGTCCTATGTCACTTTTCTGGTAGAGGGTCCACCACCTGTTTATCACCATAACCCTTGAATATTGCAGTATATGGCATTAAATTTAACTTTTTTTTAACTTACCTTATGCATTCCGAACATCCTAATTATTTACCGCAATGAGTTTATTAGCACTTTTCACAACAGAGTAGAGTGGAGCGGAGTTTTGTCGTATCGGTAAAGCTAACTAGGATGCTAATGTGCACTTCCTGTTTATTGGACAGTAGACTGCTTTTTAATTAGATACAGACAGTATGCAGTGACTTATTTTGACCTCAAGAGCTGTTTATGCAATATGTCTGTATTGGGGCAAGTCAGATTTTACTCAAAAATACATTGTAAATTGGTAGATACGTTTAAGGCCATACTTTGGAATGTTACGGATCAGAAAAGTTTCATAGTACAACTTTTGAACTGACGATGTACAGACAGAAAAAAGGGAATGCTTTATTGTCTGAACTGTACATAAATAAAGAAAGTGGGGTCTTGTCAAAACGACCCTTGAATAATTCTTGTTTCCCTTCAAATCCACGCATTAAGTTTGACAATATAGCTCTTTCTAAATCTAAAAGAAAACACAGATGACCACCATATATTTCTGGTAAACCCACTTTGCTAATTCAATGGACTTCACATTTGATGTCAGTCTAGATGTCTTGGGGAGATGTTGAAGTTGTATTAGGCTTTGAATGGCCTTTTAAAAGCTCCTATGTGGCACAGCAAATGTCATTAGGCCAGTGAGGGAACAGTAAAGAGATTACACGAGTGTCTTCCCTCTCCGCTGTGGTGACGGTGCAGGTGACGGAGTTCCAGATGGCTCTCCAGCTGGCCATGGAGGCGGTGAACGGGCCCACCACACAGGGGGGTCTACAGCCCTTCTCATGGCAATCCTTCAACCTCACGGCTCACCACGGACTCCCACAAGTCTACAACTTCAGCTTTGTGAGAATGAAGCCCTCACTCGCACAGCCATAGAGCCATGTACCACAAGTAGACTGACATTTATAGTATTTAACCATCTAGTTAGATGCTGACTTTAGGTTCTCTCCACTTTTTTCTAAAAAATGTGATTAATTTCCATAGGTACAGTAAATGTTAATACCTAATATCTAAAACTGTAGTAGCCTATAGATCCATAAAGTGCTGCCTAGTTTTTGTCTGAAATTTTATATATTTTTAACCAATTTGTAATGCATTTAAGTAGAATTTGCTCAGGAAAGTGAAACATTACACATACATTCAACACGTACATTCAATTAGCCAATAATGCAATTCCACAATACAAAATGCAAGGGCATAATAAACATAATATCATAAAGTGTGAATCTAGTCTATTCTATGCCATTTCCACTCAGATTTGGTGTATTCCAGTGATTCTTATCCATAGCGCCAAGGCATGTACATGATAAAGAATATTACTATGATATAGTAGTAACATAGTTACTAAGTATGCTCTACTCCTATACAATGTTCCTCTTCAAAAATGACTTTTTTATTTTGACTCAATAAAACTCTTACTTATAACTTATGGTGTGATTTTACTTTTTGTTCTTTGTTTTTTATTATCTGAGCTTACACTGTAGGCTTATATTATGAGTAAAGGCTAAAACAACAACAACCAGTGAGGATTTGTATTTGTCAAGCTTAAAGATCAAGCAATGCAAAGACCGGAAGCACAGATGTTGCTTTTGTCTTTTTTGACTAAATTATTTGGGTAAATGCCAATGTTTCTAAGGTATTTTTGTTAGGAAATTAACAGTGGGGTAAAGCCTAACAATAATGAGTTAGACTTGTTTCAGTCAGATTTTAATAGGCTAATTTGAGCGCTTTTCTTTTGTAAATGCGTGTGTTCATATCCGCTGTTGGTGTGTGCTGATGGCGCATTGACAAAAAGGGCGGAGCGTCGGGGGCTGGTTCCAGAGGGGGAGAAGTAAAGGCACCGGAGCAGACCTCGGGCACACGGCGGGCTCTAGCGCGGTTCCAGCTTGTGTTTCGCGGCTGTTTCCAAATGGCTACGACCGCGGAGGACCAGCGGGAACTTTCCACGCATCACGGCTGCCACCACCTCAACAGCAACAACAATAATAACAACAACAATAATAACAAAGACAGTGAGGCAGCGGGAGACAGCGGCACTTCGCCCACCGCCAGCAGCGCCACGGAGCCCAGCGGCGCCACGTCCCAGAGCAACGGCTCGGTCATCCACCCCGGCGGCGGGAACAGCGGCAAGTGGGTCCGTCTCAATGTCGGCGGCACCGTGTTCCTCACTACGAGACAAACGCTCCTCAAAGAACAGACGTCGTTCCTGTACCGGCTGTGTCAGCAGCAGGACCTGCACTCGGACACGGTAAGTCCCGCACACTTTAGCCCACAGTCACACGAGTTCAGCCCGGGAGGAAAGGCCGCCCTGGTTCACGTTGGAGAGGCTTGGCTCAGCAACATCCTGGTACTCCTGCGGCAGTGCGAACTTGTGCCATTGGTAATCTCCCAGACTGTGTTTGGAGTTAAGTCAGACGTGACCTGCGTTTAAAACTACAGAACCATGCAGCAGGACACTTGAACTTGTAATGGCATTGTTGTGCTTACTAAACTAACCAGGCATAATATAGTTGGAAATAGTAGACTTGTTATTACAGTAAACTATATAATTTCACTTTTGCATATGTCTCCAGCCTTCTTCACCCTTCATATGTTTGATTATCAGGAACATTTTCCCAGTAGCTGTTACGCATGTGGAGAATATTTCAATATTTATTTGTCTGCTTTTCTCTATTTACAAGTCTAATTTATGATGTGCCAAAACTGACTGCGTACAATGACAACAAAATGAATTGAATGTTAAGCTGCATTCAGGTAAGTATGGGGAAACACTGCAGATGACAAGAGCTGGCCTCTAACCTCAGCCTTAACGTATGACTCTTCTGTATGAGCCATGCCCCTGCAGCTTCCAGCGTCTCTGTCCTTGCACGCCAAGACTGTCCGCCCCAGCTCTTGTTTCTCATCATTATTATTTCGTGAAGTGAATGTAGTCAGATGGATATACACGTGCTCTCCTTCTACCGGAGCTTGGCATCTTATAGAGTGATGAAGAGGAGGAGGAAAACCGAGGCGTATTAAGTGACGCTCTCTCCCACACACCGTAAGCTCATGAATGATGTAGGTTTCTATTACGGGCCTAGCCTTTGATTAATTTTATAGTGTGGAGCACATTTTTATAAACATAACAGTTTCCAAATTCTCAATTTTGATACTAAGGAATCAACTCGATACTCAATACCACTTCTGATACGACAATGATTTAAAAACAAACACTACTTAGACAGCGATTTTCAATTGTAGCACTTTTTTATATTACCATGTGGCCTTATATTTGTTTATATCATCAGTAGTCCAGGTAGGTTCCAAAGTAATCCATGGGTGTATACTAGTCTATGTTCTCTTGTACTTGTTCTGATACAGCTCAAGATCATTCTAAAGCTATTCAGGAATGGTCTGTTTTTGTCCTGTGAATGTGACTTTTTTAGTATACTTTTGACAACCCTATTTCAAAGTCTTGCATAGAAAAGACAGTGAGTAGAAAATAAAACAATAAATAAAAAGAAAAACTTAAAACATATCAAGCTAAAAATTGTTAAAACAATAGAATAAATAAAATCAAATAAATAAGAGTGTAAAATTTGCATGCAGTGTGAGATGTATTGTGTTGTGTATTAAGTTCATTCTAGGGCTAAAGGGGTCGACTAAAGACATGCTCTGCCAATTGATTCATCAAATAAAAAGGGGGCATGGCAAAAAAAATAAATTAATATCTCTATAACCTAACCATGTATCTGAACCAAACTACAACTATGCAGGACTATTTATACAGAATATTCTAAATGTATTGATAAAAAACAAAAAGGCGTATTAAACTCCTGATTCACTTCCAGATTTTTAGCAAACTCTCTATATACCTGGGCGGCTACTGCTGTTGTCCCATAAATAAATCCTGAAAATCTAAAGAACTGATCTGCTAATACAAATTATGGTCAACTAGGACACCACTGACCGATATAATTGACTAAATGACTAAAAAACTACAGACTAGTGTTCAAAGTTCAGGACTAATTACAGATGAGAGAAAGCAATGAAAACAATAGAGGAGGTCCTGCATTCAGCCTTTGGTCCTAGTGACATTTTGCTGCCTACGACTCAGCAGCTCATGGGACCCAAAATGTCAGGTCTTTCGACGACTGTACGGAAATAAGCCCCAGGGGGCGCCGTGTGGAAAGGCCCCTGGCTCAGCTGGGTTGTGCTTGTGTCCGCAGCCTCAGACAACCTCACGTGGCACAGAAATGTAAACATGTATGTACTCTCCCGCATGTCCTGGAAAACCTGGAAAATAATTTGCCTGTTTTCCAGACAGGCATGGAAAATGAGCTGAGAGTAAATTTAAATGAATTTGTGGATGTCTAGTAAAAATAGTCTATTCTCATCTCAGTCATAGCAATACAATAATTTAACTTAACTTGTTATTTTATATAAGCAAGATATTTATCTCTACTACTACTACTACTGACTTACTTATCGGCACCTTGAATACCGATAAGTTTTATTGATAAAACTGTACAAAAAGCAGGTAGCCTAATGTATTTCTAGACACAGTAAATTATATGGTCTAAAATGTCAGTGGTGTATCAGAATATACCTTATCTGATTTCTTAAATTGCATAACAGGCAAGTATTTTTCTAGTTTGTATCTCATTGATGGAGTAGGTGTAGGTTAGTACTTTCAAGGAAATATCTGGTGTAGAGTGTTTAAGAAGCCAATCATAGATGAACAAGAAATAGGTCAGCATTTCTAACTAGTTTTCTTTCTTCTTTTATGTCTCTCAACCAACTTCTTTTGCCTCCCTAGTACGCTTTGAGTCGCAGTATGCACTTTTTCTGGAATTGCCACAGCAATCACCAGCTTCCGACTGTGCAGTGAAGTGCTTATTGATCAAGTATAGATTTAACGTCGGAAAACTGAAAACCGAAGAATATATTTTTTTCTTTTAATAACAAGTTTTGATGTTTGGTTGGTCCTGTGAGAGCACTAAAGTTACTACAGTGCGTCACTGCAAATTAATGATAAAAATAGCAGCTTTTCTCCAAAGACATACTTCATGGCGTGTGTGAACATTGTTGTTCTGCTTTGTCACTTTATATAAAAGGAACAGTTATACAAAAAGAAGTACTAAATTGGAACCGATATGGAAAATTGGATATCGTTCAAGTACAGGTTCCTCAGCTCTATGGCAGATATGAGAACTAAACTAAATGTCTCAATCATCTCAATTTTCAATAGCTGTTAAATAAATAAAAGCAATGAAACACTACACAAGACAGAAACCATTAATATTAAAAGCAATGAAATGCTTGGACACTGAACTGAAGCGAAACTTTGACATGCAAACATTGTTGGCATTGCACAAGTATCATTGCAGAGTCAGCTGTTAGTGAACCTGACGGCCCTCCCCGAACTACTCCAAAGAGAGTTTTTCCCGCTGCTATGTGGAAACAACAATCCCATGTGACCTTCAGCTGCGACCTGAGAGGAGCTCCCTTTGCACCACATGCACTCAGCAAAACCCTCTCCACACTCACAATGGGTTTCCATGCTTTTTGGGGACGCCACATTCACTTTAATTTCCTTGAAACTAAACCTAACCATACATAGTTATTATTTGACCTAAACAAACTAACTTTAACCCATTTAGTTAATTCATCTTAAACTGTTTGCAGCGATTCTCCTTATTCCTCATTTTCCTTGTATATTTCTAATATCCCAATTATTCACCGCAAAGTGTTTATAAGTGCTTTTCACAACTTTCCGAAACATAACAACTAACAATTAGCATGCCAATAAAGCACTTTCTGGTTCTGGGATGATAAAAATTTAGATTTAGACACAAAGAGCTGCTTTTAAAATATATCTGTACTAAAGCAGCACATTTTGCTGGACATGGGCACTGTTTAGCTTAAAAATCATGTTGTTGATCTAATATTAAAGAAGATGCATCATGAGGACCCTATTTGTTGTTGTTTTTTTTAAGGCAGACAGTTTCCCATAAAGTGAGTGTGTAAGCTCGACTTCAGTCTCCATAATGTGATAAATGCCGCAAACACACAGACATACACACTCCTGTCTCCCCCTGTCCTTCTCTCTTTAGTTCCACTCTCAAGCTGCTGACTCATCTCTAGCGCATTGTCATTACGCTCCGGCACCTTTTCCATACGGCTATCAAAAAACTCTCACATAATTTCACCCTAAAATGTTTTGTACCTCTAAGCTAAAATGAAAATCAGCCAAAGCATTAATACCTCTGTCCTGCAAAATGACATTGAGTTTTTTTTATTTTTTATTATGCTACAAAATCCGCTTTTGAGACATAGAACCATCGGAAATGAAACTGTAAAATCTACTTTCAGCTCGTAGCCAGAAGCCCAAAATATGAGTGAGGCGCAGTGAGGTGATGAGACGCATACAGAGCGTCTGTGTTGAGTCACAGAATTCTTATGAGCTTTGGGTACAAAATAAGATTCTCGCTTTGAAGCTTGTCCAGGACCGAAATGGAGAAAATTACAAGAGAACGGTGAGGAAGTTGGAAATGAAGTAGTTTTTTTTTTTCATTCAAAATCGCAACCAAGTCCTCGACAGCTGTGAGTCAGACAAGCGTGACTGATACAACAGATTGGAAGCACAGCTAAACAGGAAAGAACACATCATGTATAATGAGGCCGTTTTTATTTTTACTTGTTGTATAGTTATGCAATAAAGGGTTTGGTAGAACGTTTTGGACTTAATATTGTTTTAAGATGTTTCAGTATAATAAATATTGTAGTGGTTGTTATATTTTTAAATAGTCACAATGGGACTAACTTGAAAAAAGAACTGACAGAATTCATACTGATACATTTTTGATATAAGAATATATAGTGTCCTGTATATTGTCACTCTAAACAAGATGCCTCTTACATATTTGGTTGGTATGAAGTTTGTGCCAATTTCTTGACAACTAATATTTTAAGTCAGTGGTGTTAAAGGTGTAGTTTTTTTACTTACTTTAAAAACATTAAAAGCAGAACTGGTTCAAACAGAACTGTCTAAATTTATTGCTCATTTACCTAATCTGCTCTCTGAGCAACCTATTTTTTCACTGCAATGAGTGCTTTTCACAACTTTCAGAGACCAGAGCAGAGTTTACTGTCACTGGTGTACTACCATGTGGAGAATTTATTTTATTTTTTTAAGAAACATCGGTCTCATTTTAACCCTAAGAGCTGCTTTTGCAATATATGTATTGGGGAAAAATGGATACTTAA